ATCTCCCCTTTTATTTGCCTCATTCGTCGTTACCAAGGGCTAAGGGAAGGAAAAGCGGTATCATGAAATTTCCCAATGAGTCAGCACCGCGTTGGTATTAACTACGCCATATCAATCCTCAAATCTTATATTCACCACCTCCGAATTATCCTCTAATTGTTTGACTTTTTTAAGTTGTAAAAATCTAGGTTACTGTGTCTCAACAACGGGAAACATGTCGTGTTTTTTTTGCGTAAAAATATCTTTTGTCTCGGAAAATTTGTTCATCGGAAATGTAATGCCTAGACTGTTATAAGACTTCAATATCTGCAGACAGCTTTTTTATGCTAAAGGGCGTTTTGGCTATCCCTAAAGAAGGAAAGTGGCTTTTGGGGGATGTGCAGAAGGATTGGGAGACTAGGAGCAGAGGTAGGATGGGTATCAACAGTTAGAACTGCACCGTGGGAGACTTTGGATGTAAAGTTGAAGTAAATATATTTATTTGTCTCCTTATTTTTAAATCACCATCGTAACTACTATTTCATTTTAACCGCTACAAGATTTTTAATGTCAGGGCGAAGATTTAATGATCACTATTTCTTCATTAGTTGTGATAGGCGTCACATTCACATCATCTGATGAAAAAAGTTAAATCAGCCAAAAGTTGGACGAAGATATTCTACAGCGTGTATATCTCATCTACACTATTCGCTTCAAACTGTGACAAGTACACACGGAGCTCTCACTGGAGCATGTTGTCAAAAGTCAGTTAAGTTTTGATAGACTTCCCATTTGTGAATCTGCATTGATTTTAGCCTAACGGTAGATTTTTTCTTTTAGGAATTTTAGGCATAAAACTAAGCTAGAAAAAAGCGTAATTTTCCTTCTTTTAGCACGACACTTTGGGGACCGATATAAGCTCTTCGAGTGTAAAAGTAAGGTTGAGAGATTTGTAGCCTGGATAGTTAAGGTTATCAGACCGTGGACCTTTGCTGAAGTCGAAAGGAGTTATTAAAAAAAGGGCAGTAAATGTTTTATTGACGTAGGGAAGGGCTGAGGGGCCACTGACATGGTCTGAATGCCATGCCGCCTATCAGAAGCACGACGGCGCAGCCTACGCAACTGTAATGCAACGTTAAAGAAACACTCAAAGTATTACAGTCTTGACTTATCGGATATCACTAATTAGTTGTGGATAAAATGTCTTGGACGAAAAATGAGTTGTCTATTCCTACATTGCTACATGTTATTTTGATGCATTAAGGTGCTATTTGGATAGCTTACAAAATTCTGAGATAAGGGAATACTTGCCTCTGAAAGCTTCTTGATTAATAAATTTGGCATTTGTTTTCTTTGTTCGTTTTTGATACAGTTCTACCTTTTGTAGGCATTAAATGGGACCTACGTGATGTAAACATGATGCCTCAAAGGAGTGAATAACTTCAGTATAAAACACTTTTCCGAATTTTAGAAAAACAATATGCTTAATTCAACCAAATAAACTACATTTACGTACAACTCTAGATCGCTTTATTAAAGCCTTGACCAATTTAATTACTGGTAGTTTAGAAATGTAGTCTAACTGTGAAATGGGAAGAATTTTTGTGGCAGTTACTCTATATTTTTAGCAATCCGGATTGCTGTTGGTAGTTAATGGGAGTAAGTAGATCCCCACAATCAAGATAAGCCCTAACAAAAATTGACAAAAGTTGGAAGTAAGCAGTCGCTTATTTCGATGTGATGATAAGACTTTCAATCTTCATTATGAGCTATTTATGCGGACTGGGCTTATTTTGTCTTATATAAAAACTACTCGAAAATCATTGCTGATTGGGGAAAGGAGAAAATACGAAATGATTAGTCATCGAGAGTGACATGGTTTTCATAGCCATTTTTCAAGGAGCTGTCAGCGCTTTGCAGGTTCTGTAAAAATTAAACCTCTCTCAACTTCTTGCCGCGTGGATAAATTTCCATTTTGAAAAGAAGCCTAATTTGATTGGAAGGCATTATTTTAATGCAATATCATTCAGTACTGTTAACGGTTTTAATAATCAATTTTTTTACCTTTAAGACAAGTTACCGAGTCAAAACTTTACGCATAAGAAGAAAATGCACTCAAAGTCGAGATCTTAATGCTTTTTTGCTTTGTGCCTTAAAGTTTTACACCTTCAACTGTTGTCTAGATTCCTCCTACTTATTATCATTACATTCCCATCAAAGGACGATCGGATTATTACAGAAAAGGGAAAAGCAAATAAGTACATTTTGAGATCCCAAAACAAATTAGCTTCAAGCAAATACAAGAACAGAAAGTCATTTTTGGTAATAACAGAGCACTTCCATTTCTTCTTATCTTTCTTTTGTTGAAGGCACCTTTGTCTTATCCAAGGAACAATGCAAAAAATTGCAAATTCTGGTGTAGTTCATGTAATTATTTGGCGTTTATAGACATGGGTCCCTTTTAATGAATAGAAAAAAGTTCTAAAAAATATACAAGTTATTCACTGAAATAGCCACCACTGCAATGCATATTTCTTTCCAATCCGAAAGAGTTGCATACTTGTGGTAAATTCCACAACCATAAAGTCTTTTGCCCTAAGATGCAGAACACCGTGCCCTACCCACTGTCAGTTCTATTTTACAAGTGATCGCTTGATGCCAAGATAAGGTAAAAGCTATCGCTTCGAGGAATGCCAGAGAATAAGGGGGAGATTGTGGTATTACTTTCCTTCACTGTCACCTTACAGTTCAAATCAACTCAAAATTTTAATGATAGGGCGAGAATAGGACATTCCTTTAATTGGCTGATGGACTAGTTTTGATTGCCTCTGAAGGGGACAAAGACGAAAAGGATTCCCTCACGTGTATTGAGCTATATCAAGTAAATAGGTAACAAGAGTAATTGTTCAACCTTCAAGAGATGAAAAATTCAGTGTAGTTGATTCCATCTGCAGTCAACCACACACACATTGTGTTAGACTTGTAGAGTGTGCAGTGAATTGATCGTTTGGAGGTACCCAATAATGTTGGAATAGATGCAAAGGATATTTCTCATTACAAACCAATCCATCAGTCAACAAACAAATATATCCAGGCAGTACGTTTACCTATTGGGCCCAAGGTAGTTTTTTTATCAGCCTACGTAGCAAGTTCTCATTCAAGAATTCCCCTTCTCAGTTGATGTAGCTGTAAACCATTTGTTTCATCATTCATTTAGGCATGACTTAAAGGCCTCAAAACGACGTGGAGATAGAGACAATTAATTCTTCATTATAAAGAATGAAGGGTCCACCTCAACTTGATTCATCCATTTAAGTGATTTACTACCCTAGTTATCATGGCTAAGTTGTTTTATTCGCGATGGCACTTTCTCAATTGGACCCGTTTTCACCAACTACTGAGATTATTCCCATGCATCATTGATCCATCCAGGTGACAGGGAAAGTGGGTGACTGTATCAGAAGTAAGGGGTTGAAGAGGAACATGCGTCGGGGTGAATGTGCAAGCAAACCTTAATTGATAAATTCCCCATTATCATTCGTTCCTCTGGATAGAGAATAGAAATGAGTACCTTTCGATAAATACAAAAAGTCAGTGAATTCTGGGTGGATATTTAAAGTACTTTTAATTAATTTTACTACAGCCATTTAACAACTCAAACTTAGAAAAGTTTATCTTAATCTGGATCGAATAAACTAAAACTAAGGGTAGACCTTTTGTCCTTTGTGTGATAAAATCATTACCTAGTTCGTCACCCCCCCCCCAAAAAAAAAAAAAAAATTACCCACAGCTTTGCTTCTGCCCACGTCGACTTATGGATTTGGTTGGGCCTAAGTCGAGGGGTGACCTTAAGTCTCCACTTAATCACATTATCAGTGGCAATGAAAATATGAGTGCTAGTGCCAGCTGCTCATTTCTATGCCTGAGGTCACAAATTCAGGCGTGCTTTAATTTGAAGGTTGACTTTGTTATGATTAGCTCCTCGATTTAGGTGCGGAGACGCTTTGCAATGAAAAATAAAAGGCCATTCTGTCAAAGTAATCTCCATTTGGAATGCAAACAAGCATGACTGATAGAAAACCGAGGAACTGTTGGTTGGTTTTATTGTCATCTAATGAAACCTCTGTCACCATGGCCCACGATCTGAGCTTGATCTTGTGTACTTTACAGAAAGTAGCTCAGGTTCTTGCAACATGCCCTGAATTCCAGGTTTAACACATCGTTTGTTACAGTTTCGATAAAAGGTTGTCTAGCATTATGAAAGCCGTAGTTGGGGGAGATGTAGACGTACACAAAACATTATAGGATTGTAAGACGCTCAAAGGCAGTGGCCTTTTCACTGTTTGATCGTTTTATTTGATTAACTCACGACAAGTGGGTTTCAGTATAATCAACTACTTTATTTGCTTTCTTGAAGGGCTCGTCTTAGGTTGTAGACTCTTGACATCTTGAAACAGTTTCATTTAATTTGTTTTATCCAATAGCTTACAGAAAAGGAGTAATTGAACTCTTCTTGTATTGCTTGATTTAAGTAACAAACTTTTTGCAAAGAATAGTAGGGTCTGTTTAACACTGATGTCTACTGGCTCGTTCGTAGGTAAGCTCACGAAGCACAGTACATCTAGGTCATCACAGCTGAAGAAAGACCTATGCGCATAAAGCAAGGCTGGAAAATGTAGTCACCCCCAGACCACAACCATTCGACATATATCCCATTGTTTTAAGCTCAGCCAATGCGTTTTCGCCTCCAACTGTTTCATTTAGTCACCATGAGGTTGGGAAAACCCGTGTCACATAAATGTGACGCACCGATGTGTAGCGAATCTCCAAAAAGCAGCCGATATTCATGAGCTTGGAGTAACGCCGGCAGAAAATGGCTAGTAATTGGTATACGATTAAAATGTAACGAGGAGCTCTTGACCGCTAATGAGTTTTTTTGAGACGTAGAAAGCCAGAGTTGCAGTCTAAGCTGATCTGTTTGGAATTGATTTAAGGGCCTATCCCGCCGTCGTGACTTTCGTATGATGCCAAACTATTTAAGAATTTATTCTGTAAAAGTTAAATACGAATAAAGCAAATCCACTTTATCAAATGAATAATGTCTAAGGTGTAGGGGCATCTCTTAAAGTGGGGTTTCAATTCTCCACATTAAAGATTTTGAACAATTTGTCATGTCCATTGATAACTTTACCAACCTGATAAGAACAAAATTTCTGTTTTTTTGACGTAGGTAGATTCTACAACCTGATTAAAAGATCACATAAAACACAGTTTACGTTAGGGAATAAGCCACAAAACACGAATGGTCCATTTCAAACAGACGAGATTCAGGTCCATTAAGGGTCAGCCGATTACCCATTTGACCTTTGGGAACCTGTTGGGGCCAAAGTCTACTTGCACCAATTCAAGGCTACTGCAAACGCTTTACACTGACCCCTGCAAGATGACCCCATTGGGGTCACATAACAGGCTTAATAAAAAAAGTAATCGTGCTCAGTTAATTGCCTATCTGTGTGGGTAATCATTATCCAGTTCAGTTCTCAAGACAGCTTTAAGGAACTTTTGATTTGATTATTAAAACAGATGTGAAAAGTGCAGGAGTGTCTTTTGAAAAAATTTTCATAATGTTTAGGTATTTTGGAAACTTCGCAGTTTTATATGGCAAATCGTCTGCTTTCGCAGTTTTTTTCAAAAACTGTCACATCGAAATGAAGAGGGATGCGAAACGTAAACATAAATCACACTGAAGGAAGGCAGTCATTATATGATTACTTGCACAAAGCATGGGGCTAAAATTTCTTCGCGTAGAGTATTATAAAAATGCAAATTATTGCACAAATGTTTCGCGCTTGCAGCGCCCCGGATGTCTCCAACCAAAATGAAAGAGCATCAGTTAAAAAGTGTGAGAAAACTGAGCTTGGGTGAAAGATCTTTGGCAGCTTAAGTGTCACTTTCTTGACTGTATTTCAGCTTCGAAATCCACAAAAGGACTTTACATTTGCAACTGTTCGTGGAAGCTCCGTGGACATGTACTTCAAAAGTCAGGTGGAGCTTGACACCATCTACCGAACAATGGAAGGTCGCAATGTGGATACAGTTGAAGAGGGTATACAGGTAAGCACAAATAAATTTTATCAGAAGTTAAGATAGAAGTGTATTTTTTGAAATTAGACTGGATATTGAAGAATGCGTGTATTTTCAAAGTGATATTTACATCATTAAAATTGCACCCCGAGGCTTTCCTGATGACGTTAAAAGACATAATGCTATAGCAGAAAATGTATCGGAGACATACAGAGGGGCTGAGGGGATACTGGCTTTGCCACCCAGTGGAAGTACAATAACTGAGTTTTAAGCGCCCGTTTAATCAAAATGCCGAGTTAAAAAACCGTAGCTGCGTCTCTGAGAGTTTATTCACTTGCACATCTGTTAATTCCGGCCCAAGTGTAGGTAGCTACTGATTGGAATACCCTTTAATACTATTGGAAGATGTCGATTGGGTCTATCAGTTCTTTGATCAGCAAACGATTATTGACCGCTAACACATTTGAGGACAGTTCAAAGCTGACTCTTTAGAAGTGACTCAACCTGATCAAAAGCGACTAATGTAAATACCATGTGAAACATTCGGATTAATTATGCTAAATTTTGAGGAAAGCACAAAATATGGCTGCTTTTCCCGAGATAATTATTTTATAAATTTCAAATTAATGCATCAGGGAAATTATGAGTGTCTAAAGACCCAAATAATTCACAAAGTCCGAATTTTTAAAATGCAAACTGTCCATTAGCGGATAATGCAGTCACATTATAAACATTTTTGAGCCTGGGGTATGAAAAGTACCACCTCGAGGAGTGAGATTCTGATGACAGGATAATCTTTTTTAAGCATCACTTGAGTCATGAAAAGGGAGGGAGAAGTCGAGCATTCACAACTTCGACGTGGTCACTTATTTTGCCTTTTCCAATGTTATGGCAAGTATAATTAAGCGCAAACACCTTTTAAGTGTTGAGCTAAAAGTGGCTAATTGCATTTAAAATTTGTAATATGTTTGGTAAATTTCATCAGACTGCTTTCGGTACGATTCCAGCGTGTCGAAGAAAGCATGTGATTCATTCAAACACATTTAGGTTAAAATGTCTATATAAAATGTTATAATCAATATTGATAAACTTTAGCTCACTCATAGAGTAACTTACTGACTGGTTAGCGTTTGTTAAAAAGGCGGATGAGTGGGAAGGCGAATGCGCTAGCAGTTTAATCGATTGGTTAACTTCAAACAATCGATAGGGTAGCCGCGCGCAATTTGATACATTCGCTTAATCAGCAGCGGGTAAAGGAACGAATTTAAAACGGTCTCAAAGCACAAAAATGAGCGTTAAAACTTATCTTGTCTCTTTTTAAACAAATCTCATGTATTGGCCATTCTCAAGGAATTGCATTTAGGCTTGCGTCGTCTTTTTCTATAAAAGTATTTACTTCTACATGAAAATCACAAGACGAAACCCTTGTATGGTAATGTACAAAAATATAGCAGGGCAGCACGATGGACAGGTTTGATTCGGAAATTTAATGAATACCTACCCTCGCTAAGCTAAAACCTGGGAAATTCTCTTAGCACAGGAAGACTTGTCAGTGGGACTGGTACATCAAAAACAGCTTGGCTTTCTTAGTTTTCCTAAAAATATCATTCCAGTGGGAGTAATTTCTTCTATGTTTTGATCATAAAAACTTGGATTTTAACGGTTTATTTGCCACTGAATTGCAAGTGATATTATAATTTCCATTTTCTCATTTTAGTCAGTAAAGTCAGGTGCTCTAAAAGCCTTCATTTGGGATTCCGCGCGTCTTAATTATGAAGCTTCAAGGGATTGCGATCTCGTAACCACGGGGGACGTTTTTGGGCGCGTAGGATATGGACTGGCTATGAAGAAGGGCAATCCATGGATCTATGAGCTATCTCAAGCTGTTCTCAGCTTTCATGAGCGTGAGTCGAGGCAGAAAAACGACTTTGTGGATAAAAGGTTGTAAAATAAAGTGCAACTTTACCTAATTCTAATTGTTTGGCTTCTAGAAGGAGATTTCTAATCTGCATCTAGTGAATTTTTTGAAGTATTTTAGTGCAACATTCTCCTTCTTTCTCTTCCCTACTTTCATTTCATAGTCCTTTGGATAGGGGAGGTTAATCAGAGGGGGACATCATATAGCGTGCAATATGGTGGAAGGTAGGAAGAATGCAAAGATTTACGGAGGTCATCGATGTTAGTCTTCACCTTGGAAATTGATGGTATCTTATAACCTATTTCTTTAAAAATGCATTGTATGCACTAACACATTCATCATTCATCATGTAGAACGCAAAGGGGGCATTCTTATCAATAAACAGACCTGGTAACATGACCTCTAAAGCATCTCCTTTGGACAGTACAATTTGCATGGCGGAAAGGTCATGCTGCCCGGTGAAAGTACAATAGCCAAGCCTTCCGTGCCCGAGGAATTGAAACGAGGAGTTGAATTACTACTCAAATTATTACATTATAGCCCCCTCCTCTTCCTTTGAGTGTCGTCCCTGATGCTGCCCTTGTTACACTTCTTGCTTAGGCCACCACAGCGTAGTCAGTGCGTGTAAGAAAAACACCCACAAACTAACCACGTCAGTCATAGAATTTGCGTGCAACTGAGAAGATATCTTTCCCCAATATCACTGATCTCGCTTAGCACTTCGACTGGATTCTAGGGTTTCGTTCTGTTTAAGAACTGTATTAAGGGAAGGGTGGATGTGCCGGCTATCTCGTACGTTTCGGGGGTTATGAATTCACGTCCATTCCTCCTTGCCACTTTGTTCTCGCTGCCATGCTGCCTGGCCGTATCTGTCTGGATTCTGCTCAGTTGGTAAAGATGTGGCGGAGGTATCACATGTACACTTGATTGATATCTTCATTCAAGTACGGTAGACAGCTTCGTAGTAGACCACCCCAAATGGGTTACAGATATGTTGTCACAAATTCAACCATTCGCAGCCTATACACTTCTCCCGTTACATTAAGGCATTATATTCAGCAATAGAAACCAGAGTAGTTGACTATTAGAACTGAGTTTTCTTTTTACTGTCAATTCATATGGAGTCAAAAGTCAGCAAGTGTATTGTGGACGTACTGAAGGTGGTACTACACACATCCTTCAAGAGGGTTCATTGGAACAGCTCGACACCATTCAGAGTGAAAGGCTACCAATACCAGATACTACTTTGATAGCTGAGAAAACAGTTTGAAGGATGGAATGGAAAACAGATGGCACGACCAGGGTAAAGCTTGGTACAGATTCTCCGGCTGCTCCTTAGGTGTTGCTATGTAATAATCCAACATTAACCCCTTAATATGTTCTACTTGGTAAAATTACTTCTTTAATCGCCTCAAGGTGGTTTCATGGAACAGCTGGACACGCAATGGATATTCAACTCAGGTGAGAGCGAAAAATGTGCCAAGACAGAGTCCAGTCCTGCTACTCTAGAATTGACAAACATGGCTGGTGTCTTCATCATGGTTGCAGTAGGCATCGTCGCGGGTCTCGTACTGCTCCTTGTTGAAATCGCCTGCAGTCGACATAAAGGGATACGGGCTAGACAAATGGCCTGTGCTCAAAGAGTCAGTAAAACATGGAGGACTAAAGTTGAGGTGAGTGGTTGGGCCCCAAGATAGTGAAATCGCATCAAAAAGGCATTTAATTTTAACAGCACCGATGCTCCCAGCAGACCCTCTTTTGGGTGATCTTTAAAAGATAGCACACTTCATATGCCAATTGCCATTCTAGGAAACATTAGCTTAGATGCAAAATCACCTACCATGAAAGAAATACCATGTGAAAGCTTCGTAGAATTAGGCTTAATTAAAACTGCACTAAATGGTGTTTACTTCCTCTAACCTAGACTAGTCTCAAATCAATGCAACCCACATCTTCAAATTGTGACTAAAAGTTTTTGGTAATGCGTCTTCAAAAGGTTCTACTATAATTTATTTCGACTCGCTTAAACGTACCCTTACCTCCAAACGCAACTAAGCTCAGAAGTTAGGATGGTGGCAATGGATCATTCAATGCCTTCCTTCTTGACATTTTGGCTTCGAATTTAGGACTGTTGCTACCTTGAAATGAATTAAATAAAGCTACCACCAATAAACTATGCTTAATATACCTTTAGTATTGATTAAAAGCTTTATAGTTTACCCAGTCGACTTCCTAGGATAGCTGCCCTAGATCCCAGACGTAGTTGTTTTCCACTTCCGGTCGGGAACTGGTGGCTCCGGAAGACGGTTGATATAGAGAATCTACTTTTATGTCTCTATAGGACTTAATCATCAGGTCAAAGCCTCATTCATATGCATATATACAAGTAGTCCTGAATTCCAGCTCCTTAAAAGAACACCGTTTTTGTTCTAGCCAAGAGTACTAACCAATTTTCTAAGAAATATTGGTATCAATTTCCATTCTAATCGATCCGATGTTTACTCATGCTGTGATAAAACCCTATGAGAAGTGTTAAATAACTCTACCTTAGAAAAATCGATATCGCCAGGGCGCAGGGCGAGGGGGTACATCGAATTCGCCCATCTTTGTCGACGAGTGTTTGAGGTTATGGACATCGTCGTCCTCACCGGCCCCGCCTACATCGCCTCAACTGGATTATCGATTACCTCAGGCGGTGCTTAAGTTGCCTATCATGGCTGCAGGGCCCGGTAACAGCACGCATCAACAACAAGTGCCCAAGAACGTCCACATGAAGTCGCAACAAGTCAAAGCTGTGGATCCTAAAAAGACGACTTTTACAGGGAAGGGAGTTCAAAGGCTTCAGGTCTAAAAAATAATTTATAATCTTGTTTTTTGTTGTTTCATCTTTATGTTGTCAATGTTGTTGTTGTTGCTGCCGACATTGGTATTGCAATTTATAATGCCTCTGAATAATGTGGACCGGTGATTAATAAATCTCAACATAAAGCAAGAGCGAATTGAAATAATTCTTTGCACTTCATTTAAGCATTTTACGACATTTTGGAAAGCTAAAATGAATAACCTTTTTACGCATTGGGATAAATGTGTAGCTAATTACAAGAATAATGCAAACCGGTTTCTGCCAGGTCGAGTTCTTTACTTCTGCTTCATCAGACTAGTTCTAGTATCGAGTCTTGCTTGTCTCGTGGTGTTAATACGCTGAGTTTGTTGCAAATGACTTCACAAAGTTTAAAATTTTAAGTTTCAACTTGAAGTTGCGAGCATTCTTGCGTCTGTAAGGTAGAGAAGAGTGTCATTGACGCCTTGGAATTTGGTGCCGATCTCATAAAGATCACTCCCTTCTTACAAGTAAGTGGAAAAGGTGCTAATACAAATTTGCTAGTTTTAAATTCGTAATAAAACTCCAGCAGGATTGTGCTGACGCCTGCGCAGACTTCCAACCTCAAGGCAGATGGCGAAGCAAACCTGCATTTGCTTATGAGACAAGAGAATTGGGATATTAGCTGCTCGCTATTTCAAATTTGAAATTCAGCAGCTAGTTGGGGATTTGGATGATTATCTGCAGGCTCAACTCAGCGGTCATTCAACTGATGCATTAAATTTGTCAGAATCACAGCTAAAGGTCATGTCAATTCCAGGTCTCAGTTTTGATCCATTCGGACACAATATGGAAGTCCCCTGCGTTTGAATGCCGGGGTGACAGTCAAAGGTCAGGGGTGCCAACAAATCCGTGAGTCCGGATGATTAACAATGGCTAATACAGTATCTGTTGCCAACTCTCCAGGAGGTTTGATTTTTACTACATTATAGAAAAACTGCAAGTCGTGTAGTATGAAATGTTGGAATGGAAGGTGACGCAAGTGTAGTAACATGGGGCACATCCAGTCCATTTCCCACAGACTAAAGGCGCTACTGGAGAAGAAACTCCGAGTACTTAATTTTATTGTCTCCCACTTATCTGGCAATTGATTTGTTCACTCAGCTGCATTCCACTTTCTTGATTCCAGTAGATGTGGCTACGCTCAACCACATAAGGCGGCACGGGAGATATGCTGGACTGTTGGGAGACTTCACACATATTTGTTTAATCTACACCTCACGATTGTCACCTACCATAAAGCCTCGAGATGTAACCTCAGACCATACAAGACGTTGACAGGACCTTCTACTGCCTTGGTCTAGCATTGGACTGTTTCCCTAGCTGCTTGTGGATTCGATATTAGACACCACGGTGCTGAGTTCATTCCAAAAGCTGGCTATCTGTCTTGGCGACCTACTTTTGATGAGACAACTGTCTTTACCCCCTTTTACAAGTCTGACTGGCTCTACGAGATAATCTAACATAATGCGCTTGGAAGTTTCATAATTGTATTCTGACAAGTATGGAGGTCAAGCCGTTATTCCTCCAACACTGAGACCATCAATCTAAAAGGAGTTTCATTCTGGTCATTTGGGTATTGAAAAGGTGCATAACGATGCCTACGACAGTTCGAGAGACCGTGCTCAGTGCTTGCATATGACCCATCCAGTAACGGCCCAATGGACTTCCTGGGTGATGATATTCTTGACGCAGTACCACAATGCTGTGCACTGGACAACTAGAAGTAGTGCAACGCTACTTGATGAAGGCTCAAAAGAATTCTTAAGTGTATGGTAAAATAATCTTAAACTATGGAGGATATGTGGGCATCAAGGATGTGAGGATTCGTGTGTACCACCCAGCAGACATTGACGATGGTTCCATCCAATGAGGACATATTGACAAAACCATGTCTATCCTGTCCATTTCTAATTCTTTTGATTTCAGGACTGATACTGTTATTCTTGAGACTGTTGCTGTGGTGATCAGAAACTCAGGCGAACCACATCAGTGACCAAGATTGGAGCCTGAAGTTGCTTTAAATTACACGGATGTGATGATTGTCTTGATGCCTATTTTATGCTCTATCTTTACTACATTTCTATAATTAAATGGCTAAGTGTATAAACAAAGCATCTCAAAGTAAGATACACCGAGCCCCCCGTTTTTGTCTGACTAAACTAGTGCAATGTTTTGGTAATTTATTTAGCGCCACATTTTGGTTTGAGGGCACCGAAGGTTAAGCTATTGTGCTCCCGTTGTGCACTACAACATTTGAATAGCATTGGTAACCCCAGTTCTTCCCATGTCAGCAATACACATTCTGTCCTAGTATTTGAGCTTCTATCAACTTTGGGCAAAATTAAAAGGTCCCAATGGATGTGCAAGGTAATGGAGAGACCACCATAATCTACTAATCGTTAGAAAACATTACTGCAGTACGTTGGATAGTTGCTTACTTTTCAGTTTTGGTAAAGGGATCACTTAAATGCTCCGCCATTGTACCCTGGCCGAGTGAGCTGGCCTACGGGCTGGGCAAGTAGCATCAAAGCCTATTGTGTATCGAATGTATGTATCATCTGCCTGAGTATTGTGTTTTTTGTCTTTGAAGAAGCCTCCTGATGCTATCTCAGTGCAGAGGTCTTATGTAAGAGCTTTAAAATCTGGTTGCTGCGAAAATTATTCTGCTTCTGACTGAAATAGCAATGCTTAAATGGTTATTAATCCGAAAGTGTGGGTAAACTAAGTTTTATCATGCCTCTGCTACAAATTACTTTGGGCAGTACACTTTCTTTTATTCTTGGCAAACAAATAAGGTGGATAATTTTATTTTATTTGACACGCGCAACGCTTAGAGTTTTGTACCCTTGCTCACAGCCAACTCGTAGTGTGAATTGATGCATGCAAATAATTGTGGAAAAATAAAAATGTCATAAGCTTGAATGATTTTAATGTTTTTTTTTAAAGTGCATTAAATTAGGTTGTGTTTTACTGTGTAGGTTAACATTCAATCTAGTAAGCTAGCTACGCGGAGGTGTTGTCTTTCGTGATCAGTTTTTGTATAGATGATGAGACGTTCATTGGTACAGTTTATTGCACGAAGGTGTTTCGCTTCCGAGATCCATTCGTACGGGGTTGGAGTACTAAGAAATCCAGTCACCAATAAGGTTATTTTCAATTTTTCGCTTGATTTGCCTTATTCTCATGTAAATATGCGTTATTTTTCCCCTTTTTTCTTATCTTGCCTAAACATATGGGACCTGCCACAATCATGTGCTGGTCCTTTGCTAACTGAATGCATCGGTTTAAACTCCCATGTGTCACTTTCCATAGGGTACTGCGTTTACCATTAGAGAACGACAGCTACTTGGAATTCATGGTCTTCTTCCCCCTGCTGTATCTAATCTTGATGTGCAGTCCAGGAAAATGATAAACAATCTAAAACATTTAGAGGATAATCTTCAACGTTATATTTTCCTGATTGGGCTTCAAGACCGAAACGAAACCCTTTTCTACAAGGTAGGTAGTCGAACGGTTGTTTTGCAGAACTGTTTGTATTTCGTATCGTGAGTAATGGGTTTTTCGATTGACAATTGTTTGAACCTACTTATTGGTTGTTTAATAATGATATTTTTGCTGTCTTTTAATAGGTTGTTACAGAGCATACCGAATACTGTATGCCTCTCATTTACACACCTACTGTAGGTTTAGCCTGTCAAAAATATGGTCTCGTTTTCCGCAGACCCCGGTGCGTATTGTTTATTCTTTTCGTCCCTTTTTGTTTAGATTACCAGGCTTTTTTTTTCATCACAGTGCTTGTTAACGATAGGACATCTGGCTAAATCAATCCATTTCACATCCATCTGTTTATTTCAGAGGTCTTTATATTACCATTCACGATCGCTACAACATCGATGACATCTTGAAGAACTGGCCGGAGCCTATTGTTCGTGTAAGCCTGAAGGAAATGTATATGGTTTTTCATTACGACCTTTTTTAATAGCCGATTTTACTGGTCTCTGTATATGCCTGTAGCAGCGTTCGTCTGCCCTTCTGCCTCTAATCGTAGCATATCAGTTTCAATTTTCGGACTGCAAAGGCTCGTATTCTCACGATTAAGCACGCTCCGATTTGAAAAATGGCAGTATGGGGGGGGGGGGGGGGAGAATACAGCAGGGGTGTTTGTCTGTCACGTTCACCGTCGCACGTGTGCACACGTTCGAAGGCTGACCCAGCTGTGCCTTAGTGGTGTGTCACCTAGATTCATTTGGCAACTGTATCAAGGTTAGCTTTGCCCATTTTGGGGTAACTCCTTTCACTATTACCTCGTCGTAGCCTTTTGAGCTCGAGCAGTAAGACCCGGGTAAAAGCAATTTCACATATTAATTTGTGCAATTAAGTCTATTTGTTGGTCCGGATTTTTCTACTTCCGAAGTTAGGCTATGCCCTTGTTTACTCGCAGTTTAAACGATTCCTGGCAACTTTTCTCATACGGTTATCAGAGTGAGCTCTTTTTGTAGACCATCGTTGTTACTGATGGGGAGCGAATTTTGGGTTTGGGAGACTTGGGCGCCTACGGTATGGGTATCCCCGTGGGTAAATTATCTCTTTACTCTGCCCTGGCCGGTGTTAACCCAAGACACTGCCTTCCAATTGTCCTCGACGTAGGGTCTGACAACCAGGACCTTCTTAATGTAGGTTATTTTGATTTTCCGCGTGGAAGGTTAATTGATAAACAGTTTCTTTTGGTGTTTCAATTTTGATAATCACAGTTATTACCGCTCTTTTATCTCCATATTTTCCTTTTGAAATGATGTAGAAGCACAGAATTGTAGCATATATTTTTTAAAATATGGAAGTAGGTAGCATATTAATCGTGGCGAACTAATTTTTCTCTTATGTTGCTCGTAGGACATGCATTACTTGGGTATTAAGCACAAACGCATTCGTGACGCACGCTACGATGAACTTTTGGATAACTTCATGCGTGCCATTGTTCGACGGTAAGCTGATCTCCTATCATTCCTTGTAAACGACTTAATGCGGGTGTTTTTTAAAGATATGGCAACAATTGCCTGGTTCAATTCGAGGACTTTGGCAACCGTAATGCTTTTCGCATTCTCGAACGCTATCGTCATGACTACTGTACCTTCAACGACGACATTCAGGGTGAGTTTTTGCACTGATTATTTTGATTTAACAATATTCGAAATGAATTTGTGTTTTTCGGTAGGCTAGCTGATATCGACCGCTCTCCTAAATCCACGGCTCATTGCTGCTTGCTTAGCGGCTATTTGAGTTTTCGTAAACATCCACTGCCTGCGCACATACAAAATTTGCACTTGTTCTAATAGAACCGGTGTTCATAATGGTACCCATATTCCTCTTTTTGAAATCTCTTAGGCTCTGTGGTTAAACGTTGTGCGTTGTGTTCAAATTTACACTGCTGACGATGGTGACAAATTCATCTACAGTTATTCACTTTGGCAAAAGTTGGGTTTGTTTTGCAGAAGGCATATTCCTAATTCGTCTGCTTGACGTTTTTTTCATCGCTGTTCCGAAACTACTTCACTGAATTATATGCAGATGAGCTGGGCAATGCTGAGCTATTTTAAAAATAATATTGCGACAAATACTTTTTGTTTATGAGTTCCTAGCTAATGATATGATGTAGGGGCTCCTAACACAAGATAAGTTAATAGGGCGACCTTCATTAAACCTTGATTAGGGGTTTATTACAAAACACTAAGATTGCGACACTCCTGCTAGCGGAGTCACCTTTTTACGTGCCTTCGTTTGAATCCGGTAACAGCGTTTTCTGTCCTTCGTTTGCTGCTATTCATTCTTTTAGAATAAAGAATTGTGTCAAGTATAATAATTGTCTCAATACCCCACTGGACGCTTTTTTAATTTTACTTGAAGTCTGGGCAGTATTATTGCAGATATTACTTAAGCACTCTGAGTTGGTGTACATTAATCTTTTTGGGTAAGAATTTGCTATTAGGGGCTTTTTTTCTTTACAAATTAAAGCTTGGTACTCGTTTTTAGTTACCGTTGTCACTTCTTAAAGCCTCAATTTATCAGCGCTAACTCCTCTGAGAAAATAAGTGTCCTTACATCCCTTCTGCCATTTGCAGGTACCGCCTCTGTGACGGTTGCCGGTCTAATTGCCGCTGGACGCTTGACGGGTCGCCGACTGTCCGACGATACGTACCTCTTTGTTGGCGCTGGCGAAGTAAGCGATCGACCGCTCATACCGGCACACATACGTACACACTGTCTTCTCACCGTGGCAAAGTCGTTCCTCATCTTTTCTCTGTTCTCTAGGCTGCCAGTGGCATTGCCCACCTTCTGAAGACAGCTATGGTTATGCATGGCCTTCCAGAGGCGGATGCTATCAATAAAATCTACATGTTTGACAAAGATGGCCTACTGGTTGAGGTGAGTCAAGAACTTAACATCACCCGTCTTATTTGAGATGTTGTCCATTATTTGGGGGCAAGTTGTCAGCATAGGGGTAAGGTTTCCTCATCCTGTCATCGTCCAATTCTATGCTCGGATTCGTGGGATTTTTTAGATCATTTTATGTGGTTGATAATTGTTCCTCCGATTTGTCTAGCAAATTGCTTTTGGTGGACTATGCTCGATTAGTGGACTCATTTCATGCCTCATTTTTAAAGCTGTGTTAAAAAATTACTTGAAGAAAACCTGCCCATTGGTTGGATGAATATTTAGCTGCAGTAGCAGCCCTCGACTATCACGTCATATCGGTCTACAACAGCTCCCAGTTTCATTCGGGTCGCGTGATTAACATAGTGTCTAAATACTCTTTGGTATCTATAAAGCGTTCGTTTACATTTGCGTTTTCTGGCGTTAATCTTCTGCTTACCTGCATTTGCATTGATGGTGAACCTCAAAGGCACAAAATCGGTCACTGTACTGTTGGCTATAGACTTAGCAGTGTCTTTATCTCGCTGCTGGGAGTCACTAGAACCAAATTTTCCTTACGGGTAGAATGTGATTCAGGCCAATGAAAGACCCTGATTGGGACAGCCTTGTTAATGATCAGCTTGTGACAGGTAGACGGCTGGTAAATGCGTAAGCAATTTACCATTATGATTGATGGCTGTTGATGAATTAAAATAACCACCATCACTAAATTTCCAAACTTGTCGATTGTGCATATAGCAACTGACGATACAGGACCAGTCTCTTTAGTTGAGTTTTACCTTAAGCAGATCTGTAGTAATATTTATTATTACCTCTAGACGTTGTAGTTAATGTGGGACCTATACCAATATCTCGTTTCAGAATTGTTACTTTTTTTTGGTTTCAACAATAACGTCCCTTAAACGAGGGCTTCTCACCGAAAGTTTAATTATGGTTTTTATCTCATAGGGTCGTCCTGAGGGTAATATTGACGAACACAACTCCACCTTCGTTCGCACCGACGTTGAACCAATGCGAAACCTCGAGGAGATTGTTCGCAAGCTCAAACCCACCGCACTGATTGGTGTGTTGCGCATTTCGTGCCCATTCTTTTTGCTTTATTTCTGACTTCACGTATCATGCGTATTTTACATCTTTCCTTCTCCCCCGCAGGTGCATCCGGTGTGGGCGGTCTTTTTACCCATCGCATTTTACAGCAGATGAAAAAGAACGTCGACCGTCCGATAATATTTGCGTTGAGCAATCCCACCGATAAGGCAGAGTGTACGGCCGAGGCTGCCTACAACACCACAGGGGTAGGTGACTAATTGTGGAATGCAGTCGGTGTTTTATTTCACTCATCGGGCTGTGAATTTCGTTGTCCAAACTAGAGGGTGCCAGGGTCTTAGGTTTACTGGACTTGATGCCTTTTGGTGGTACCTTGGTATTGATAAATTTGTTGTCACATTATTTGCAGGATATCGAGTGTTTTCATCGAGTTACCTCTAGTATGCCAATAAGCTCTTCCGATTAAGTGAAGTTTGGACGTTTGAATGTTAAGCCATTTCGTAAATTTTCCTGTATTTATGTGCTGGTGAACGTTTTTGGTGTAGTCACTGATCGGTACGTTTCGGCGTTTTAATTTTCTGACGTGACCAATCCCTGCATTCTTTGTGGGGGTCATCTGAGTGCAAGAAAGTATCAGAAATGGAGGCTTCTCTAGTCGATTTACATCCCTTCCAACTAACTTTAGCAATGTAATGGGTACTTTTGACTAATTTTGGTGCGGTTAATCTTTTTTTGGAATAATATTTTTCGTTAGGTACCAGACTTATGTAACCAAGGACTTGATTTGTCAATGATAACACAAGCCTTCTGTCGATAGTTGCCAAGATTTCATCGGGACCTTAGTGTCAGATGGTTGAAGAGTTCTAGTGTTATCCCTGGATGTGTGTGCAATCCCCAGGTGTCTACAGGCAATTGCTAAAATAGTATGGAATGTCTGGAGGCGGGGAATACTGACATCTGGGGATATAGCTGCTGCCTGTGGTCGTTATACAGGGTTTCTACGGTTGTTTGCGGATAGCAGTTGGCGTTATTAGAACAACTGAACGACTTAAAAATTCTTGGGTACCAAAAGAGCTCTAATTTTACGAGAATTGACTTCATTTTGCTTAGGTTATTGCCATTTTCGTGTACCGTGGGGATTTTGTTGTCGCACGGGTGGCTAGGTTGCAAAAGTTTTTTTTTGCCTTGAAATAATGTCAGTTAGTGATTCTGCCTAAGTGTGTCAACAAAAGTCGCCTTCCTTTCAATCGACTCTTCAAGGTGTCAGCTCTTTTAAACAACGACCAGCCGTTACATTCCATCGGAGCATGGATGCATGTGAAATGGGGAGGTTTGAGTATCATACCCTCTCCTTTCGTGGTAGGGATGAGTCAGTGTAATCCCGAAACATAGTAGATACCTTTCACAATCGCGTGAAAGAGCCGGTAATGTTGATTTAACCACACGGCTTGGAGTGCGTAACGCAGCAGACCTAACAGCTAATGGACGTTGAGAAATGATAAAACTCTATCGTAATTTCGTTGCCTTCGGTCTTGTCTGGTCTGTGGATAAACATAGCCTTGCCGATCAAATGATTAAACTAATGGCTCAAAAAACTACGAGGGAATAGTTAAGAATCTTTGGATGTGGGGAAGACTCGAGTTTCCCTGTGAATAATAAACGCTTCTACCCGCAGGGCGCCTGTGTTTTTGCGAGCGGTTCGCCCTTCGGTGAGGTGACGATGAATGTGGGTGGACAGGTCAAGACCTTCAAGCCGGGCCAGTGCAACAACTCATACATCTTCCCCGGTGTCGGTCTCGCTATTACCGCTTGCAAGTTACGTCCCATCCCAGATGAATGTTTTGCCGTAGCCGCTGATGTAAGTTGTTTGGTCTAAATGTGGTGTACTTATGTGGAATGCGGTATTCCACTCCTCACTAATAATCGTGATGTGCCTTAGGTCACAGTTCGGTTGACCAATGGTAGCGGAAGCGGGTTTCCGTCCCCTAATCGTTCTTTTATTTAGACAGTGATTTTCTAGTTTACATTGGTATTCAGTCGGATATTTTATTGCTCTGTTTGAATGCGGCTAGCCTTATCTTACCTGAAGTTAACCTTAATTGTTCCAAATATCTTTAACAACTCAATTTTTGATGAACTGCTTACTTTCGTGTACTGGAGTTGTGCGACTATATGGGATTGAATTTCGTTTAACTGTAACATTAGCTCTATTGCTAAATGAAAATTTAATATCATGCATGATTCATGGGGGATTACTCGACCTTTTAATGCCCCCAATTTTGTTAGCCTGCATTTATGAAGGAATACGGGAGCTCAGTGTTTAATCCAAGTTCTTGTCAAGACCGATGGAAATGAGGTGGACTTTTTTTAAATAATTAGTATTTTAGTTATCTGTATTATGGCAATTGGATGATAGATTACTGGTAAAATCGCCTACAACACACGTCCTTTTGGCTCCATCCGACGTAATTTGATTCAATGTAAGATAGGTGATAGGATTCGCAGTAAAGTAAAACAGGTTGTCCACTTGTTCTACTTACGTCTATTTTGCCAAAAATTTGAACAAACACTTATAAAATCCTTGTATTTGGGTGCAACTGAATGCCGAATAACGTTCCCTGTCCCGTATTTAGTGATTGTTAACTGGGGTGTAATTTCATTTTTTGCAAAAGTGCAGCGTACTGGGCTATAATTACTCCGAAGAAATAGAGGGAATCTCGCAGTTGATTTTTATCCCCTAACTTTTGATATTATTTATTCGCATTGATGTAACAAATGGCTTGTTAAATTAATGAAAAGTTTTTCAATGTTACAATATGTACGGTAAAATTTTTGTTAAGGCTATGCTGAGTTGAAAGAATCTCTTTAAGGTCGAAGTTTGCAAGTGTCGGAACAGTTTTCTAGGTTAACACAACAAGGCCATGGTGGCTTTCGGCCCTTTTTCACATTTTAGATTTGTGCATTTTTTGAACTGACATGTCAATTAAAAAAAAAACGCAGGTTACACTTGCGTTCACCTGCACACAAATGAATTAATGTAGAAATACGGGTTAGGTGATTCTTACCTAGTGGCTGGGAATCGTCGTGCATATTTTTCTGAAGCCTTCTCCATTTTCAAAGCACTTGCACGAACCCTCATTCTGCCTGGCCGCTCCATAGGGCGACTTGCTTTCGGTATTCATGGATGTCAGGGCTTTTTGTTCGGTTGATTCCAACCATAGGGCCGGTATTTCGTCTTTGCAGTTAGTTTTGGAATTTTTCACTGGAAAGAAGATCAACAATTGACCTTCATTTTACTGTTTCTAGTAGCAGTTGTCAATTTTTTCTAGCTGTTTTGCATCAGGAAGTGACAACCTACTGTTTCGCAGTATGCGTCTTCCTTTCACATTTGACGGCAGTTGATCATTCAAATTCACTCATTTTCCGTGTTTATTACCCGAGCCTGAACTCGTGTGTGTTGTAGCTTAATCCTGATGACTTTGTTGAATGAGGTGGACTTAAGGTCATCCGTTTTTTTCGCATTAAATTGGTAAAATAGACGCTTAATATCTCCCAAGTCTATGCCTAGTATAAATTCTACAAACTTTCTTTAGTCGGAAAGGCTATTTAACCACTGCCAGTTCCGTCCTATGGGGTGCCTTGTGATAAATGACCTTGAAAATGAGCTGCTCCTGAGCATCTCCCTTACCTATTTTATTCCCTTACTTTCGTCGCATTTATCGCTGCGCCCTAAGGCACAGTTCTGATAAGCATTCTCCTAAATTGTGAAAGCTGCCACGGCGATCCTCAGTTTAATAAATTTGTGTTTATTCTTGCCGTATACAGGGAACCAAAAGGCCAATTGCTTTGTCCTTGTCTAGTATATCAACGCTTTTTAATTATAGGTCTTATTATTGATGCCTGGTATGTTATTCTTTCGCATTCCTAGCTGTTCTTTTTCTCCAAAAGTGCATCCCTACTATTCTAAACGTGGATTAACGGCCGACACTTTGTTCCATTGTTACACTCAGTAATCGAAATCCAAGCAACTTGATGCCATTTATGATACCTAACACGGTGTCGAAAATTTAGTTTTCTAGGCTGCATTTGACACTTGTTCCTGGAATAAGCTGAATCCTGAGATTCTTGATGATCGAGACGGCGCAATATCCCATTGCCTGTTACGGAAGTTAGCGGATCAGTTCCCTCCTACCAAAGCACTTAGAATTCGGGTCTCGGATCTAGAGGGTGACTCGCGTTTTTCGAATCTTGCCACCACAGGCCGCAGTCATATCGTTCTGCCAGTTGGATGATTTCATTCCTGATCGGTTGTGAAAGTTACAACTGTCTATTTTGTTACTGAGGCCTCTTCATTTCTAAGTTATGGCTTTCGAGATAACAAAACCGTTTTGCGTTTAATGATTGGCGCAAAATCTCTGTAGCTTCTCACCATAAGTCGAATCGTGACTTGTTTGTTTAGCTGGAGCGTCTGTGGAGATGTTAAGGTTTTTGCAGAACGCGTGTGCACTTATAATCTCCTTGTTTAATTAATAGTTAACAGTTTAGTTTTCGTTGTTGTAGTGCTTGGCAGAGCAGGTGAAAGAAGAGGATCTTGCGTTGGGACGAGTATTCCCACCCCTTAGCCAAATCCGTCCTGTCTCGCTGGCGATAGCGCATCGAGTCGCGGAGTTCGCCTACGAAGAAGACGTGGCGCATCTTATTCCAAAACCCGAAAATCTCGTGGCCTACATTCAAGATCAAATGTACGTGCCCAAATACGACTCCGCACTGCCCGATTTTTACGATTGGCCTGAGGAGGCTATCCGCAAGCCTCTCGAATAGGATAACTTTCTTTGTTTCTAAAATGTTTTCGTTCTATCACTTATCGGTAGTACAATCAACAATGTTGATGTCCTAGCTATTGCTGTTCTCTCACCTCCTTCTATAAGTGGCCTTTTATACTACCTCCTTCACCCACCCATTCTCTGCTCTGCACTTTCTGCAAAATAAAACACCGGCAACTTTTGCCATGTTTGATGTTATATACCGTGTTTTGCACCAACCTGTCGGGGAAGAGGGCTGATGAACTTCGGCTGGCTGCTCCGCATTGATGTTAGCACTGGAATGTGTGGCTCGGTTTAGGAGGATTATAATGAGACAATATTAATAAATGCCAAGGCAAGATGGAAGTCAGGTTGATTTTCATGTTGGCTTCACCACTGAGGGGCACAGGTCTGCTGGAGTACCGATTTCACAGCATTGCCGTTTTGACAGCTCCAGACACGTAATGGGTAGGCTGAATCGAAGCTGGCTGTCCTGCGTGGGTTTTACGATTGGTGAATTGTGCAACAAGGGGGTTGATGCCCGAGTACGACGGCCCCTCGGTTTCCGCAGTTTGGGGTTTCTTATTAACAGCCGGCTCGGAAGGCTACTCCTGTAGACTCCCGAATCTTCTGTACATTAGTGGGCCATCTCTCTGCGCGAAAAGAATTAAGAGATGGAGCAATTTCGCCTCCACTTTTCGAGTAGTTGCATGCCATCAAACCAAATGACAAGTGACTGGTGACAGGGTGAAATAAATAAGGGATGTTAGATTCATGAAGTACCATTACCATTGGCTAAGGATATGCACCCGGGAAAGCTACTGTCCAAGCTTGACCTGTACGAAGTGCATGAATCGCCCACGGGGCACTGTTGGTGGAGCGACAAGCCGACAACTGTCTTGAATTCTGTGGCTGCGGACAAAATCTTAGCGCGACAGTCAAAAGACTTCAGCCATGGATGGCGAGTCTGAAAACTCTTACCAAAAGGGGTAAGAAGGGCGTCCACCTTTGGCAATTGCCCTAATCCCGTGGGCTGTATGTAGCCTGTCCAAAACTGAGGCGACACAAGACTTGAACTAGCTAAAGTTTTTTTTTTTTTAAAACCTGTCTGCGGTGACTACATGCTGATGCTATTTATGTGGACAAGCAACACCCTCTCAACGCACCTACTCTTTGAATGGAATCCAGGCAGATGGCAGAGCGGCACTGAAGTGTGAATAAAGTGGCGAGGAGGAATAGATACGAAATAGTGGCCCCTTGAAACTATTTTAAATCATGTGCTTTAATAATTAACTCAGATTCTAACCTAATTCACATCTGACTAGCGACGGGCACACGGGATGCCTTCGTTGCAGAGTATCTTTCGGTCCTGAGGATTGGGGTGCCATTACAATTCCTGCCCCCCAGTAGATTTTACAAGCAGTCCGCTGTGATGGTCGACGCAGAAGATTGACCACAGGAGCGTCTGGAACGGTTTGATTTGTTATTCTAACTAAGCGTGCTCTAAGAAAGATTGCACTTCGGTCAATGCATGTTGCACTTCTGCTCTGCGGCATGGCCTTTTAGCAGTAAAGGCCAGTGTGCCGCTTTAAGGTCGCACCTCTGGCCAACTTGATCATGGCACACAGTCTGTTGTTTTATTTTCCTAACCATTAGGCGTTTTAGGATTGCGATTAACTGCAATTTGATTTCAACTATTCGATCAAATTGAGTTAGTATATGTTGAGTTGACGGCGGAGGAGGTAATCACATTCCGCTTCCGAACTAACCCGGAGGTGATGTGCTCGGTAACACCATTATTGTCAAGGGACTGGAAGAGTGATTTGTGCATCAGCAGCTTCAACTTATCCATTAAGTACAACTCAATACCTTTAAATGTCAGTTCAAAAATTTAAAAACAAGATTAAAATAAATTAAAATATTATTGGGGTCTTTAATGCATACTTTATTCCTTGGTAAACTCAGGACGATGAACGAACTGATCTGATACTTGTTTAAATTCCTCGGGCGTCGGTTTCAATACTTCGTTTGGCTAATATGGCTGGCCGCAGTTGGGGACGAAATGGTAATTTCATTTTGGCGTATACATTTATGCACTTTATAAGGTCCCGGGTATAGTGTTGGTGGGGGGTATATGGGTCCGAGTGCACCTGCGATGGGTGCCAACATGGGCTATTATGTTAATCCCATGGACAGGCGGCCCATCTACACAAATAATCCAATGGGAAAGCCATATAGTGGTGCAGGTTACCGAGATGATGCCTACAGACGTCCGCGTGACGATTATCGCGGCGGCAAGCGTCCAAGAGGTAGAAGTCCGGTTAGTGACAGGCGATCCCACGGCCATGACACCTACCAACGCAAAGACAGCAGATCTGGTAGGAGGCCTCAATATACCGGTCGCTACGAGGTGAAATTCCCCAAACTTCCACTTACTTTAATGTCTGCGACGGTTCCCGAACTCAAGCTTATGCACTACAATCTTAATATTCCCGCCGATTTTTCCAAGGCTTGTTTCACGTGGCAGGAAGCGTTCCCGTTGCACGAGCCGATGCGGATCGCCACTAAATCGGATGTATACGTAGGTTTCATACTTGAGTGTTTATTACCTCTGCTGCCCAGATTTTGCACAAGGATGTGGAGACACACTTTGTTCATCCGACTAACGCTCTGAACGTTCCGGATGCGGATTACTCGTATTCGGTTCGTGTAATGCCGGTTGCTTCACCTGAGCTAGGCGATTTGTATAAACAAACCTTCCGTGCTGCTGATGAGAAGGTTGACTCTGAAAAGATCCCGGCTATTAAGAATATACACTTTTTAGTCGGTGGAAAGTCGAAAAGTGAGACACTGGCCATCGGAGGTCCCTGGTCACCCAGTCTGGATGGCCCAGATCCGGATAGCAATTCGCAAACGCTCATTAACACAGCTATTAGGACTTTCAAGGGGTTTACTGGCGTAGATCTATCATCTGTAACCGAGTGGTAAGGACACTTATTGGGACATCTCGCTCTTTTCTTTGAAGGGTGCGCTTCCTCGAGATTCGCTACTATCGGGCTGCTGCCACAAAAGCTCCTACGATGACCGAGGAGGAGGAGGAGCGCGAGATCAGCGAGGACAAGCAGGAAGTTGTCGTCTTCTTCATTCCCGACATTTCCCATCTTGTGCCGTCTGAGGAAGAGTGGGAAAAGACAAAAAAGATGTACACGGACGCTTTTCAAAAGCTGTTTGAGTCTCCGGAATCGGAGAGGGCGGAAGAACCTACCAAATCTGAGCAACCTGTCTCTGAGCCGATGGAGACTGCTCAGGTCTCTGAGTCAGTCTTAGACGAAAGTCAAGAGAGCTCCCACGCTGAGCGTGCTGAAGGAGAACCAACTCACTATTCAAAACTGGATATCAATAGCATGAAGGTTGGTGTTTGATTAGTACAACCATAACTAGCTGCTAATAGGTGACGGAGCTGAGGGCTGAGTTGAGTGCTCGCAATCTTGACTGCAAGGGGGTTAAAGCTAGCCTTGTGTGCCGCCTACAGAATGCGCTTGATGATGAGAGGAAGGCTGAGATGACCGAATTGAAACATGCTGAAACTCCGGCGCCGGAGGAACCCACAAAGGTGGCGGGTAAGTGTGGTACTTTGCGTTTTTTCCCCAATACGGTGGCTGCCCCGAAAATCGTGCGTATTTTCTACTTGATGATTAATCAGTTACGTGGAATCGGGGTCGTTGTGGAAAGGCGATTGCTTGGAGAGAGCACTGCCGGTTAATGCCTTCCCTTTTTGCTTGTTACTGCAGCCGAAGATGCGCCGTCTAGTCTGGCTGAAGCCTCTGGGCAGCCAAAGGAAGAACATCAGCATCAGCAACATCTGTCGAAGGATATGTCAGAAAAAGAACGTCGTCGCTTGGAGCGCCTCTATCGGTTGGGCGATAAGCCGGCTATCCTTGTTCACCCTAACAGGGCAGCGCGTGGTGGTCGTTTCGATTGTCACCGCGTCTCACTTCATTCTCTCCTCAACTACCAGGGTGAGGAGCAGAAGGAGCTCAACTTTGAAGTGTCTCTGTTTGCGGAGCAATTCCATACTATGATGCAGCGTGACTGCGCTTTCACTATCTTCAAGGCCATCTACTCTGCCCCCGAAAAGGATGGAAAGTACGAGGCAACTTATTGTGCTACACTACTACTAGTAGTTGAGCGTACTCGCAGTGTCAAAAGAAGGGCTTCGTTTTCGGGGGGGAGGTGAAGGGAAAAGCGAGGAAGGATAGGGTGGTAGATCTCCCCGTTGCCGGTTGTTCATATCTGTTTCTTCATTTGCTGTTTTCTTTCCGTGAAGGTCCGATCAAAATGGTCACGATGAGCCGGATCCCAAACGTCGACGTGACGACGACTATGAGGAGTTGTCTCCAGCAGGTGATGACGAGGAATCAAGCAAGCAAAGAAAGATGCGCCGCACTGTTGACTTCGATCTACTCTTCGCTTTTACCTTCTTCGACCTCGGTCACGCCGGGTTTATTCGTGATCACGATCTGACTACTATCCTGCATCTTCTTAATCTGGGTTACTCCAAGGCCCAGATGAAAAAACTCGTCTCCAAGGTGTCGCATCGCGAAAATGTTCGATTCAGGAACTTAACTGATCGCGCTGTTGTTGAAGGAGATCCCAACGACGTTGCGACATTAAAGCTGAATTCTTGTGATCCTGAGTTCGTTCGTGATCTTGCTGCTGGGAATGATCTTCTCTTCGGTGGCGAAAAACCACAAGGCGCTTCGAAGTAAGCTTTCGGTTGCTACTTCCTTAACAAGCATCCTTTTTAGAATAATTGTCGCTTCTTCGGCTGGTGGTGAGGAGCTTCTCAAGCGCGTTGAAGCGGCTGAAGAAAACAAAAAGTCCATGGAATTCCAATTCTTCCAGATTAAGGAAGAACTCGAGAGGACCCGATCCCGTCTGAACGTCTGTAAAGACTTCGAAGATCGCCTCAAGAAAGAGAATCGTGAATTCCAAGAAAAGCTGCGTGAAGAGCAACGGGCAAGTCGAGACAATAAGAGCCTTGTTGCGACCTACAACTACCTGTTGAGACATTCGCGAGAACTCTTGACGAGCGTAGTGAGTGAAATCGACAAGCAGTTCGAGAAGGAGAAGGTCAAGCGTGAGACTGAAAAGGCGGCGGCTGAAGTAGAGAAGGCGAAACGTGAATCTCTTGATGGGACGGACTTGTCTGGAAAATCGTTGAAGGATGAAGCTTGTGCTTCTGTTGCAACCGATGATGACGCGGGCTCGAGAGGTGCACAGAAGAATGAAGATAAATCGGAGTGGGAGGTAGTTGATCAAGTGTAAGCAGTCAATACGCTTGCGCGTTCTACTCGTGTTTCCCCTGTACCAAGTCGATGTCGTCCCATTATCGAGCTCCTTTGCGTTTTGCATTTCCTATTAATCATCCCGCTACTACCCCGCTGCCCTTGTAATGCGTACAACGACCATAATGGCCCCATTTTTTATCAGTTTTCCCAAATTCATAAACGATTTTGCGACGAGACTGTTGTCGGTGCGTTTGTGCGCCGAATGGGTCAAACAATTTTGGTTTCCGAGTGCTGTGGGCCACTGCGTCCTCGTGATGTTTGCTACGGTGCCGGCTCGGTGTGTGGACTAAACTGGTGCCTAAGGTATTGTGCGCGCGGGCACTCTTTCGGAAACTACATGTTCCCTAGTGATTTTCCACACAGACAGATGTGGGTGTTGCAGCATGCCGCTTTTTGTGATCGGCACGGGTTTAGCCCGCAAGGACCAACTTGGAACCTGTTACTCAGGTTTTGGCTTGCCCACTTTGAGGTCAGTGGGGCGGTTACCTGTTGCGATGCTTGGGGATTGTAGTATTTCAGCCGTGGCGGGGGGGTGGTGGTGTAGCTGCTGCGGTCTAGGCAGTCTGGCGGTAGTGGTAGTCTAACTTTTGGTTCGAGGCGGCCCTGGAGCCAAAGTAGAGATGCCGGTTTATGGACGTCGAGGTGTGGCTGTGGATTGTGCAGTTGGAAGGCGGTATCGCACCGTGCCGAGGGGATTGCGGGAGGAGGGAGGTACGGCCTTGTGCAAGTCTGAGGGTATAGGGGTAGTATAAACAGCTTGAGTAAAGTTGAGGCCGTCTCAGTTGGTACGTGCATGTTAAAGCTCTTAGAGGCACGCAGTCTGTAGAACTTCCTGATGATCGTTTTCAGGCGTAGGTCAAAACATTCGCATGTCCGGTGCGATACTTGGTCGTTTGACTCTCGGTTTGGAACGCGCCACTTAAAAAGCTAAGACATTTTTCCTTCGCTGGCAGTCTGCCCTCCGGACCATGCCAGCACCCCCGAGACAATTTGTAAGGCCGCAATAAATGTTCAGCCCGAGAATTATGTATTCCTTGGACATGAGGAAGTCTCGAGGAGCTGCAGTATGCATACCGGTATGCCAGTTGGTATTTACTAAGTGCAGATTAGTTTAAAGCCGAACAAGATCTCACAAAAGAGCAAAAATAAGTAATCTTATCTTATTTGCGCCAAGAGCTGATTTTGAAAATAAGCAAGTCGGCCGATATTTCTGGGAAACCGTCCCTTGAATGCTCGTATCAAAGCAATCATTAGATGTTTTAGGTTCATACAATCAGAATAACTTATAGTTCTGATATAAAAAATCTGGTACTATTTGAAGTCACTGTAATTGCATACCATTTGGGAAATCACATCAAACCCGATGTAGTGAATAAAAAGTGACAAAACTTTATTTAGTTTTAAGTTTTTAAAAAACTCACTAAATACTGCGATTCATGGCAAGTTGGATTGTTTTAACATATCGGGAGTTGGACAGCCCTTCAAATCGACGAAACTGAACATAGGGTGTTTTCGGCAGTGAGGGTGGGCGCCATTCATCTGCCTTTCTATGTGCTTCGTTGTTTTGAAACCATTCTTGAAGTTAAAAGTTTGATTTGCTTAGTGTGTCTTTGTAGCTTTGTGTAGTAATTTCGAGTGTGGATGCATCAGTAGCTCCGTAGGAATCCCGCGTCTCATTATGGCACGGCATTTATTTGCTATATCATCGCTATTTATTATCGGAGCATTGGGTTTCTTGTTAAGTACTATGAATCGGTGCCGTTTCTTCAGCGCCGTACTGTTACCAACTTGATTAGAAACAATGTTGTTATATACCTTGCTTTAGTCGTTTGATATCTTTTAGGCATCCAACGTTTTTAACGTTAAATGGAGCCTGAGGTCTTTGCGTGCAGTCCAAAGGTTTGTTTACTTGCTAACTTGGGGTATTGAGCACGGATTATTCAGCTTCACATGTCTGTCTTTTATACAGTTGCTGCGCGGATCTCATGGCGAACAGTGCTTTGAAGAGGCTCGGGGCAAGATCTGGTTCCAAGTTCGTCTCACTTCACCGTTTGATAATGTTAATTCCATCCTTGGATCCGTTCCTAGCCGATCAGAGTTGCCCATGGAGGCACTTCTCATGCAACGATATGCACAAAAACTTATGACCGGAAGTAAATCGATTTGTCCTCTTACATGGCCGATAATTGCTCATTATTTTTAGTCAAATATAATTCTTTTGTAATGAGCAAAGTTGAAACTATTTGCCTTTTCGATTAAATAAAGTGCCGTTAAGGTTCCTTCTTGATTTCTACCCTAGAATCGTTTCGCCATACCGTAAATAATTTCGCTTTAGTTTTTAGACCTTCTATAAGGTTTTTTTATTTGTTATCAACCTCCTTCATGTTCTTGAGACTGCTAATGATTTCATTTGGCAATTAGGTGACTTAAAGAATTCACGTAACAATCTTCTTTGATTCATGCTATTTGTTTTCCTAGACGGAGAGGAGCACATGTCGACCGTATGGGATGACCCATTCGTGTCTGCTGAAGTTTACATCCTAATCAAATGCCTTATGGGTGAAATTGCTGATACGACGAAGGTTTGCTTAACATGAATTACGAGTTTTCCCTTTTACATTTGTTTATGTGTTGCCATGATGTAGGGCTTTACATGGTAAAAATGGGGAATGTTTTAAACTCTTGCTTTCACTAACTTATCAGGGGAAGTTTAAGATTTGTAATTTGACTTATTTGATTTTTGTGTGGCTTGCTTCAGGGGGAACTGTTAAGTATCCGCGAGGAGTCGAATTCTTCCCTTGAGTACGTATGTCATGGTCGTCGAAGGCGAGTCACTGTTCATTTCATTATTTTGCAAAAAATATATCTTGTCTGGTTGATAGTTTATTACCGAATGATTTTTCGAGAACCTCTAATTATAAAACCTTTAACGGTTAATTAAATCAAGTGCAATAGCTTGTCGCCAAGTCGAACCCTTTTCAAATATAGTCTCGATTCATTATCAAGTCTTCCTTAAGTTTTAAAAAGGAATTAAATTTAAATTATATTCCTTCCTTTAGATACCAACAGAAATTATCGGGTTGGCTATAATGTATTGACTTTTTCTGTGTCTCATAGAAAGGCGATTTGTTTCGAGAATCCTCCTTTAAATTTTGATGGTGAAGGTGACGAAAACAGTTGCGGTAACGAGGAAGCTGGCTACAATCTCTCAAAACGCGCTCTCCTTGAGAACAGACGGTCCGAGCTATCCGAACTGCCCACTTTAGAGCGGATGCCGTTGAAACGAGAGGATCGCCATCTCATCGATGTCTCCAACTACTTCCTCGAGCAGTCGCTTTGTCCCAACGAAGCGCCGAGCACCAGTGCCACCACCTCTCCCACTGTCGTCACTCAACTTTTCTCTCCTGGACAGGTTCATTTCCTTTGTCGTCACCATCGTTTTATTCTTGTACCTGAGTACAAGATAGCTTGTTTTTCGATAGGTACGAGAACTACTTTTGAAGCAGCCTTCCTTCAGTCAGACAATAAAAGAGCGGGAAACAGATGAAGGCGTGAATCCATGGTGTTTCAAATTCAGCAAGGTATTCTGGACCAAAGTAGCTCCCCGAGTGGTTGATTGGTCTAGCTATTTCGTTGTCAGATCAGCATCGCCTTCTAAGTCCATCTTTCAGTTCGGTGAGTGACGGTTTAAGCTGGGTCTAATGTCCCTCATCTTGTTCAGGTTTGATTGTCGGCTATTCGACTGAGATATCCACGGCCTTAGGGGATTTCGTGATTCATTTTAATCAAAATAGACTATTCAAATTGATTTTATCAAATAAAGCATTGTAAGTATTTAGTTTCCGTAACTTTATGCTTTTGGCTAAAAGTGACTGAGGTGGGTGAAGCAGCATTGTGGACTGTATTGAGCATGTTCTCTGGTTAGGTACACCTGTCAACCCATTTGTCTTTGCAGCTATGGCTAAGATGAACCATCTCAATAGTACTTAATATAAGCTTGACGTCTGAATGACCTCTTTTCCAGTCTGTAGTATTAAATTAACAAGTTCGATGTCTTTAGTGCGGATCTTGATTCCAGGAGTACTTGAATCGTTAATTTTGGTAGCTTCACGTCCCTTCCACCATTTCGTAAAACAAACTTGCGCCTAACTTTATTTGTTTAACCTGCAGCCAATCTCCAAAATTCACTATTTTTTACCTTTAGCTTTTATATTTATAGCATTATTGTGCACGTGCATCGTCGGCTTGAGCCTCTCCCCTCTCCTTTTTAAATCCCAAATCGTGTTCGGCCATTATACTTTTCTTACTTAAGTATTGACTACTTACATTGAAATAACAAATAAAATATGCAAAGCTAAGGGAAGGGGGAAGGCCCTTTTAAAATTCCCTCATAACTCCATCCTTTTTGTCCGTTTTCAACACTTTAATTTCTGTTATTGCAGCTCTTTTGATTATTGAGTTGAATCTTTTGAAATATCAAAGTTAAATAATAACCTGGCAGCCATTACTAAATTTGACACCTTCGACAAAGACACTGATTGGGAAAAAATAGATTGTAAATCCATGTTCGTTTGTCTTGGTGCTGTGTTTGGTTCAAGCAAGCCATTATCCCCATCGTAGATAGAATTACTTGTTTTACCTATTTCTAATCTTTGAACTTCAAACTAAACTGCACGAATCTCTGCTCGGTTGTCTTCTAGTTTCTCAGTCTCGTTAGTATTTATGATGCGCATAAGTGATCCGGATTGCCGAGAGGCGCACCTTCTACTTTGGATTAAGCGTTGCTCGGCTTCACCGCTTTGGGTCGCTTAAAGAATAGTGTAGAAAATTTTCAAGGGGTGCAATGCGGATTCTTGTAATGAATGGCCAAAATTTTTTAATGGCTCTTTGAAGCGTCTCTTAGTCGGTTTCTCATCTCATTCAGAACTTTGGTTCTGACTGCCTCAACCGGAAAAATCTTGGGTAGGAAAATGTACAATTCCTTTCACGAGACTAAAATCGAGTTGGAAAATTTTGACTGTTTCTGATTCAAAAAGTCTCTAAACGATGGATCAATGCTCCTTGATATCTGGCGTTTTGGTTGTTGTTCGCTTTCAGCTTAGCTTCATCCTTCACAGCTCTATCATCATTACATGAGTTTGGGGTTATATTTCCATCTACATTTGAATGGCAGAGCTTTCCTGTCGCGATTTTTTTTCCATTCTAGGGCAACAGCGCTACGCGGTACAGTGTCGTTTGGGTTCTGGAACCTATGGTATTGTCTACTTGGTTCGTCTCCTTCCCCCCCTAGACGCCAATTCAGATGCTGCTACTGCTCTAATGGATACCACCACTGTGGGATGTCTTCCAGAACAGCAGCAGCGAATCAGTAACAATGGTGCTTTAGCCGGCATCCTGCGAGTGGTTAAGGTGGAGAAACCAGACTTTCCACTGGAGTTTTACTACATGCGTGAGACGAGGAGGCGTGTTGTCTCCGCTTTCCGTAGCGGTAGGATCGCTATTGACGTGGTGAGTGCAGCTGTAGCGTCCAAGTTATTTCTTAAGAAAATATGAGGGTATACAGTCCTAGGAAGTAGCTTTATTGTCGATGTATGAGATTAAACGTTATGAAAAATTCATTGTGTTACTAGTGGGTATTGTTGTAGGCGATTGGAGAGGGCTCACCTATTTAGGTACATAACTAAAACAAATATTCCTCTGCTACATTATCGCTTCTCCAGTCTCCGTGTGAAATTCAAGCGATAATTATCAAGGTATTCCTACAATTAGCTTGCAAGGGTTGGGAGATCGTTGAAATAGGTGGTGTTCTCACCTCCCTGTCTGAAGCCAATTAGCCATATGTAGTAATACATATGCTCAAAAGGCATTCTTTTTGAATTCATGGCAATTCAACCATTTTTCCCTTTAGCGGCCCTCAATTTGTCCCGCTTTGGCACTCACTCACAGCGTCGGGCACTTTACCTGCTTGCTCATGCCCTTCTACTCGGTGGGCCTGTTGAATTTGTTAAACTATGGTCTCTTGCCTCGGCAACTAATAAGTTCGAAAAAGATTAAGAATGGCAGAGCGCTGCAGTCATCTCTGAGGCCCTCTCTCCGCCGCTCTTTGTCACCATCGTCACCACCATCACTTTTGCGATATGAAGAGGAGCTGGTGGCGCTGTACCTCAGTCTGGAGCTCCTATGGATTGCCGAAGGACTGCATAATCATGCAAGAATTATTCATGGCGATATTAAGCCGGATAACCTCCGAATTAATGATCGGTTTCCCCTTTTGGATGTCTCGGTGTTGGATGAGACTGTGACGAATGCAGGAACGGAGGAAGAGGGGATGGCTGTGAGTGGGTTTAAACAAACTTGATTTGGCTTTCCGTTTGTTGGATGCTAGAGTCACTCCAGACGATTGATAAAAGATCCAGACGCCTGTGAATGCTGAGGAACTCCAGTCTGTAAGTAGGAACGGTGTATTTGCATCTGAATATCCATATAATAATGCTATAATGCTAAATATGAGAGTAAGATTTGTTTATACGCGCGATTTTTTGAAGTGTACGTAAGCTACCAAAGGCGAATTTTTTTCAACCTATCGGTGTCTCGTTTAAGTATCTTGCAACAAGAAGGCCCGCTTTAATTGCCTATGGGGTGACATGGTAATATTGGAGCCACTGAATGCGACGGGATGAATGTGATGCATTGTCTTGTAAGGTAACTGCCTTTTCTCTCTTGAGTGGTCCAGACTGCTCGGTCGAAAATTTCGTAGCCGTGATAAACAAGCGATCCTATTACAAGAAACCAATGAAACTGGATCGCTAAATAGCCACCACCTTTGTTGGTGATTCAGTTTTGGACCGTTTTCCACCTCATTTAAAACACTTGTGATTATGGAGGGGAATTCAGTGCATTTAAAGTCTGGCAATAATTACATGTTTTTATACCTTCCTCTTGTTTTGTGGCAGCAAAACAGAGGAATGAACTTTAGGATGATTCCTCTAAAGACGCCTACTGCGTTGATTAATGTGAGAACCCATTCATTTGCTAGTTCAATTTATTATTAAATATTTTAATGATAAAGCTATCAAGCCTTACAGTTGCGTGGGTTTGGGGCGGATACTGTTTTAAACTGTACCACTAAATGTTCAACGTGGGTTGCCTGAATCCTCTCTTGCTTCCAGGTTTATAAAAAAAATAGACAAAGACCTCACTGCAGAGGTTTGATTACCGACGTAAACGCGTAAACAAAGCGCGTACCACCAGAGCAGACGCGCCCGTTGGCTAGATGGTGGAGACGTCCGGGTGTGAGCCCACGTATGGCTGATCGTGACTGATTTACCTTGGCCGTCGAGTTGATGTTCCATGTGAGCCAATCGGGAGGGATCGAGCGAGGGCAAGACTTTCTACAATGCTTAAGGGTCAGTCGTCAGCGGGATCTTCTGGAAAATCGACCAGAAACGTTTTTCTAGGGCTGCAGTTATCTCCATCATATACATCTGCTCCCGGTGTGGCTGGTTTTTGGATCAGTTATCCGCATTAAATTAAATCACCTGGGTGACTCCGTTTTTGGGATTTTAGTTGTCTAACGGCTTAACACACTTGATTCAACAGCTAAACGAAGCCACACGGACTACGCTGTCGTCTGCGTCGCTGCTAGCTATTTTTCATGTACAACTTTGGAATTGTTACTTGGAAAAGGGACTGATTAGTTGGCAGTATTACATCTCATCTAAATATGACCAGAGCAGTGGTATTCAGTTTCAAGGCACAAGTCATCTGCCTGAATTCCAGCTTTGGCTGTTTCCCCAATTTCCCGTCTCTTCATTTCGATCCCTACATTATCCCTTTGAGTGGAAACACCCTAAACCTGCCGAATCATCAGATAGTTAAAACTCTGTCCGATGAGGAGATTATGCATACCATCCTCCACGTATGATCATTCACGTGGAGTTGGATCAAATTTGGTTTAATTAAGGTTAGTATGGGGATCACTTGATAAAAGTGTATTCTATCTTGGTTTCTGAGATTTGTCAATCATTTCCTTGATTTGGATTTTACTATTGTCACTTCATTAGAAGCGTCCAATGATTTGCTCTTTTTGAACCCTTTGTCACCAAAAGTACTAGCAGATATCAAGATTCCATCCACTTTTAACCACCTGACGTTTAATTTTGTTTCGCAGTTCAAGTACAACACAAAGTGGTAAAGGTGTTCTCTCTCATCTGTAGCAAAACGTCCTTTCTTGACAGGGCGACGATTTCACCGGTTGCCTGATGTCTGGCCGATGCACGAAGGTCCTGGTGCTCCTGGATTTCGGACTCTGCATTGACATGGCCCGATTTCCACCGGACACGGCGTTTAAGGTAGAAAAGAAGCGCTCCTTCCCTTGCATCGAGATGCTCACCGGTCGGCCGTGGACCTATCAGGCAGGTCTTGCCATCACTGCTTTACCGTCTCAGCACCTCTTAGTTTCTACTATCAGTTCTCCTCAATCAAAATATCAGGAGTTAGTTTCTGGAAGGACAGATGGACTGATGGTTTTTGGACCCGTTAATGGTGAATTTGAATGCTTCTTCCTTTGGAATTGTTGGATTTGATTCCTCGAATTTGGGGTAGCGAGTATCGCGAAACGTTCTCGACGTAAGCAGTCGTTTCGAGAGCAAGAAATTAACTTGCCTGTTAATTTATTAGGCATACCCTTGAACCGGTAACACCACTTTAATTGACGACTCCTTTGAACTGGGGTGGTGACAGGTCTGTGTTTGAAGTCAGCATTCTGCACCGAATCGATGAGACGCATTTGGACGTTTCGGTTGTGGTGACTCTTGAGCGTAGGACCAGTCAGCGCTGGATCCGCTATCATCTTTGCTTTGACCTTTATAGAACCGGCTTAGCTACGTCGAAAATTTGTTTTCCCGTTTAAATGTTTTACTCTACCTGAAAATGAATTTGGCGTACATTTTTACAAGTAATAAAGAGAGAGGGGAGTTTTTAAATGGCATATTGCTTTTGAAAATAAATTTAGAGATTCGTATTAATAATGGGTTTTTCGTACCTTTTCATGCCTCTGGAATCGGTTCCTGCTTGAGGCGGATCCGAAATAGTGTTGGCAGTCCAGGTGCAGGTATTGGGGATTCAGTATCGAAGCAATTCAGACAATAGCGGTTGCATTTCATCCTCAGCTTTTTGGCAAACTTCTGGTCTACCAATGATTATTCCATTATTTATTTGAGGAAATTGGCGGAATAATGGGTTGCAGTTGGGTTCAGCACCTCAAAATACCGATTATGTACCGATACCTTACAATTTTTATTAATTTCCCAATTCGCCATCTGACCGCATTTCCAGGAAAAGATTGCTACTGCTGTTGTTCGGACCATTTTCGATGCATTTTATTGTTATGTTTATTTCTCCCTTTCCTAATCCCTCTAACACGCAGCTGGACTTGTTTAACATTGCCGGTGTAATCTACACTCTGGTCTTCAAGCGCTACATGGAGGTGGAATGCTTCAACGGCGAATGGCGTCCCAAGGCCCTGCCACGTTCAAAGTAAGCTCACCCACCGTCGCTATAACTACGTCTTTTTGTGTCAATGTGCAAAATCCGGCAGTGTTATAACAGATCCTGGATAGTGTTGGCTTTTTATAACCAAATAGTTTTCCAGTTCCAGTTCAAATGAGCCTTTACTGCAGCTCAGCGTAGATTTCAGCGTCAATGGTCTAGGCAATTTAAACAAAAACCAGATGAGTAGTCCTCTTTTTAATCCCAATAGTAGTTTAGGAAGCCTGATTCCTTCAAACTAACCCACTTCTTCTACACTAGAGTACCCACCAACAATTTGTGCGGGATGGGTTATTGAATGATTTCTTATGACTTATAAAGTGGATGTGATTGTGTAAGATAGAGATGCGAGTCATACTATCGATATGCCACGCTCTGTTCGTGGCCTTTATTGCAGTCCTATTCATTTGGCCTCTCGCATCACAAACTGATGAGTGCAATTTGAGCCTGTCCGGCTTACGAATGGGATTTTGCACAATTTCGATGAAGCTGTAAAGTTTTTCCGCAAAATTTACTGTGAAGCGTGTGGAGAAGGTGCAGTAACGAAAAAAAAACAGTCCAAAACTAAAAATCGTTCTGTCAACTTCATGTTGGTGGTGAAGCACCCCAAGATGGGTAGATCTTGTTGGGGAAAGTGCTCTGTTGATGATGTTGCTGATGTTGCCACTACGACAATGTTCAAACAATTGTGGGTGAACGTGTCACGAATGAGCCCTAGTAAGGTCTAAAGTGGGTTGCGGCACATATTAACTACCTACACCGGTTCATAGACAAAACGCTATTAGATAGGTGTCTTTGTGATCGACATCGACCCCAATCTTTCCAGCGTTATCTTCCTGTGAAGGCACTTCAATTACTTTTGTCATTCTTACCTTTGCAGCCGAGTCTACCGAGCGATAGAGGTCTGGCGCAGCATCTTCTCCGCCCTTCTAAACGTGCGTAGCTGTGCGTCCACTGATTATCCCGACCTGGCCGGTTTGCGGGCACTGTGTGAAGCGTTCCTACGCGACAATGCAGCCGACTACAATGTGGCCGCTGAGAAGGCGAACGCCATCATCGCTCACTTGAGTCCGGGGTTCAATGGATGACGTGGCCCGTCTTCCTCAATTTGGTTTGATTGACCAAGTCTTTCATTTGTACTATAGATTCATTCCCCCAATTTTATGTGTAAAAAACGGTGTTTTGTAAATGCATTTATTACTCAAAGCGTAGCATCTCAGCGATGGCACGTTTGGGGGTGTGCTGTTTAGCTTCTACATCTCTGTCATTGGATCGCGGAGATACATTCGTTGATGGTGATCTGCGTTGCCTTTCTGCCGTGGGCGGCAACACGCCCTCGGTTGCTGAAGTCGCTACCGATTCAGTATTCTGGAATAAAACGCTGACGCAAACTTAAAGCTTTTCCCGATTCACGTACTAACGCCGGTGTCGCCCAGTTGGGCTCTTTCAGGCCCTCCTAGCTGATGCAGTCTGTTTCCTGACCTGATCATCCGAGCACTTGAACAGCATTGCAAATACTGTCTCTCGCGCGTAGAAACAGATATCTAGGAAACAGTTCTGGGACCAAAGTGACGCAGCACCTCACCGCATCCCACAAGTGCCCAACCCTACTGACGATGCAGATGATCGACATGTCTGTGGGTAAAAGATGGTCCACAGGTAGGGAATGGATGTGGAGGGAATCGCCTCACTCTGAGCTTGCACGAGAGGCGGTTGATCAAATGTTTCGGCTTTCACACCAACTTACAACGGACAAATGTGCGATCTGTTGAGCCTGAGGCGGGATCACGGACCTTAGAATGCTGACATTAGAAGGAACGTCGCAGAGCAACAAACCTCAGCAATGCACAATAACGTATTGACACGGTGAGCCAAGTAAACGGCCTGAGGTATCCTAGCGGACGAGGGTAGAGACCGGGGCAACAATGAACAGCCCCCGCAATAGCAGGGCCAAAAAAGTAAAGGCGTGTAACCCAACGTAGGTTAGAATGTCGCATCAATTGCATAGGCAAAAACCGCACCTTACCTCACCAGAATTCCACATGACACCGTGAACAGCTTAGATTTCACATGATAAACATCACCGCGGGTGTACTTAACTAAACGACCGAATGACAAGTATCCAAGAGACTAGTTCCAATCCAAATAGAACAGTCTCACAATAAAAGGGACCACACAAGCATCCGAGATGGGGCATCCAACATTTCGGCAACCATGCAAAACACCCCCAGTTTCAACTCGTACAGAACACCTCTAAAACCGAGTCGAGCGGAAATTTTATTGATAAACTCCAAATAAGGCAGTATATTCAAAGGACGATAGGCAAACCTACCGCGCTCAAAAAGTCAAATCCACCACAACCAGGCCTGAAATCCAGAAATAGAGGCAAAATTAGTCAGGGCAAGGATGGAATTGTCACCGATTCCCGCCAAAAAAGAACAGAATCGTCAAATGGCTCCTGCAATCTTCATCACGAAACTCACCTTTTATGTGTTGGAATCAAGCAGAACTGCGCAGGATGCCAAACTCGGTCCATTGAAATACTTCAATGGAAAATAATTCAACGTGTTATGGCACGTTAGTAGTCGCGGGACAGCGACGCACTTTGTAACTTGCTTAAGGGAATCCCACAAGAAACATGATCTGCTTGAATCGGCGGGGTCGCGACTGCTAGTGAAACAAACGACAAGGGAAGCGGCAGAAGTCCACCATCAACACAAATAATGCATCATAAAAGTACTTCCAAAACCTAGGCACCCATCAAAGCAAGAGCCCGAGACGGATTCAGCATAAGAACCGAGAACCCCGCCAGTGGTTATGATGCTTATCTAAATAGTACCTGATGTCAGCCAAGAAATATGGGAATAGGTTGGACATATTTGTGGCACTACTATGCATCTCTAATGAATTAAATAACAACATAGGTGTCGGGGTAGTCATTGTGGTTCTGCAGTAAGGGCAAAATTGGAGAAAAAATGTAGTGAACCAAGAGCAGTTTGAATAGCTTTAGGTACCCTAGTTAAGGGTAGTAGTCGAATGTCTTACAGTAGGTTGTTACTGCATTCGCTGAGGCTCATATTTGATACTTTAGGATAGCCACTTTTTAATTAAAATATTTCAAAGGCATTTTACAGAAAAAAAGGATACTAAGCGACCATAGCAATGTCCAGAGTGGAAGGTACGCTAAACAAAAGCGTTTAGCATAGTTCCATAATTTCTATACTTGATCCATGAACATAATCGATTTTACAAAAGCAAAAAGCATCCTCGGGTTACTCTTGTATAATCCTTTTTTCCCGATTGATACTTCACAAAATATTCAATGCAAATGGTTAGCGCTAATGCGTAACATCGTTAATTAACTAACTACCCTCATAACATAAATTCTGGTTTCATTGAGCCTAAACACTGTTAAAATACACAACTCCCACAAATTGGATTTTAGCACTTAATCGCTGTTGTGCACTTATAAGTAACCTTCTCACTAGTGTTTATTTAGCCTTTACAGATTGTCTGGTAGATTGCTGCTTAAGGTCTTAAGGCACTTTTTGGAATGGAACTTTAATAATTGACAAGTTTTGGGACTATTTTTCTTTGAAATACCTAGGAGGCTTATTTCCATTCCTAAATCAGCCTAGCCGAATTTGAGTATTTTTTCCTACCCATATAGCTAAGCTATGGTGCTGCCGTTTGGTTACTCGGTTATTTACGAGTTAATGTCTGAAAGAAAATCTACATCATTCTTAAATGGTGCAGAAGGCGACAAATGCTTGTCAGCATAAGAGTTACTCCGCCACGCTTTGGGGTGTTTGGCGTGGCTTTGTCATTTATCTAAATGAGTGGAGAAAATAAACTGCAAATTCCAAGTGATAGGCAATAGCTCTGAGTTCCGGTTGTAATAAATGTTGGGGAACGTGCTAGTTACTCGCTTCATCTCTTTGATTTCCTCGGAATCTTTGCGATTGTCTCGGTCTAAGCTAATGCAAAGTGTTTATGGTTCAGGTTTGAGATGGAAGCTTCCGTGACGGAAATATTTGAAAAACATACCGCTGATGAGGTACGACGTATCTGCATAGAAATCAGGTTAGTGTTCTCTATTCACTTTCCTCTAAGAATCAGCTTAGAAACGACGTCGAAAGCAAGAAGATGGAACTCCGCTTTCTCGTTGGTGAACGCCATCGTGATGTCATCGAGGCTTCTGACAATATTCTCTGCATGAAAGAATTCAGCAACAGCGTATGTCTTTCCTTTTTTCTGATTCATCCTCTTTAGATAACAGAAAAACTCCAAGCATTGGAAAAGTGCTGCTCATATGAATCCTTTGCGCCGGCAAATATATCGTAGGTCTTTCCAGCACCTCAATTTTTGCTTCTACAGTTGGTCAAAGCGTCAACATTCAGGCAATCCCAAGAAGTTGATTGCATCTCAACTGAAACTCCTCCTTGACATTCCCGAAATGGTAAGAAGGGACGTTATTTGAAAATAAATCGTCTTTTCTCGGGTTTTTAAACCTCTATTTGTTCGACTTTAGATTTGGTCGGCTCTGGACGAGATGGACTACACAGGAGCGGTGGAATTCTTCCTTCTTGGACGCCACCTCTCAGTGAAGATGCATCTCACGGGAGAGGCAATGGCTGCTCACGTGAATCCACGTGTGTTGGTTAAACGTCAGTGGGCAGCTCTGGATGACATTGAGAATACTATCGCCTCAGCTTGCCGCAAACAACTCGCACTTCCGACTGTCTCCGACGAGGTGAGTTTGCGTCTTTCCTTGTTCGAGTATATATAATCACACTTCCCCCTTTTTATTTCCTAGTGATATTATTTCTATTGAGGAAATTATGTTCCTCTGCTTTACACATTAACGGAACCAGTCTCACTTCGGTTATTCTGCTGCAAGCCTTTGTAGTTTCATTCCTCTATTCTTTCGCAGCGCCACTACGCCAAACGTTGCTCTTCGCTCGTGAATAGCTGTCTCTTTTTCGGCCGTTTTTTTGTTGCTCTGGACATAAATCGTTTGAGTTTTCAGTGACCACATTGTTGTAAATCTCCACACTTTTTTAAATAATTCCCGTTCGGCTATTAGCAGCCGGCCTTTTAATAATTACTGCCTACAAAGTACTGGTGCGCTGTAATATGGAAACACCTGTGATACTCATTTCAGATCGCTTGGGCTCATCGTCAAAGCTGCTCTCAAGCATATCACATAATTAGAGTTTTAGAATAAATAACAGAGGTTTATTTGCTATACGTGATAGTGGGATGATGTTAGACATGCTACTAACATACTACCTTTTATGGAACCACTCGCTTAATCAGAACCAAATCCGTCTTTAATTATTTCAGGACTGTCCAACTACTTGTCTAGGTTATTCTCAGCTTCTTGCAATAGACTAGGGCATCAGTTCTTTATGTTGTGTCCACAATTTGGCGTTCTCATATAAGCTTTGTAAACAACGCTCTGATTGTGACCATTTTACAAAACTCCTTATTGAGGTGCCTCTCATAACCCGATGTTTTTATAGCCCTCTTTGTCATGGGTCTTCAAAAGCAGCTTCCGATAGCACATCCCGCCTATGTTACTCCAGATTCTTTCTCCAAAGCGTTACAGGGCACAAGAAGCTGGGAGGTAGCTTTGTCTCAGCACAGAAGGATTAAGCTAGAGTGGGGTCTCGTGGCACCAGTCTGGAAACCGAATCACGAGAGAAACATACAACTAATGTATTCAGATTTGCCAATCAAACAAATGTCGCTATACCAACCAGTAAGCGTTGTGATCCTTAGTGACGTAGAAAATTTGTCGAGCATATCCCGCGACGCTATCTGTATATTATCAGACTTACCGTCAAAATCAGTCAGATTGGAATGGTTACAAAATCTTCGGTGTGCTATGTGGGAAATTAAGTGATTTTTCCCCTCCTAAATAGATCCTGGCTCAAGCACTCACTGCCCTACTCGTGCTGGAAGATCAGACGATGCGTACTGCTTTGGACGAATTTCTCTCCGGTCGTACGGTAAGTTTTGCGTTTTTTTCTCAAAATTAGTACAAAACTTTTACCTTTCAGACAGCACTGAGTTGTATTCTGGGTGTTGACGAGGTCTCCAAAGGACGAATGAACATCGGGGTTGACCAGCGTCTATCTACGGTGGTGCGTCTCTTTACACAGACCTCCGAGGCTGTAACCAAGCTCTTTCTGCCCAAGGGTCAAATTGCTACGTTGCTGGAACAGATGTCAAAGTGGTGTCCTCGTGGTAGGCAGCCCTTTGGGTGGAAATCTAAATTTATTTGATTTTTCTCGTTAAATTAGCCTGTGAGAAGGATTTGATCTCTTAAGCCTTAAACCATTATGAGACTTTCTAGCGTGATTTGTAGGAATTTAGTTTGTTTGAGTGACGTTATCTAAGTTGATCTATCAACTTCACTTTTGGCAACTTAGCTATAGGCTCCCGTCCATTTCATCGTAGTTGGTTGATCGAACGTGGAACTATGACGAAAGGATGTGGTCAGTAGTTTTGGTCATGGTGGTTAAACAATAAACGATAAACGGATAGTCGAAACGGCTGAAACTACGTATCTTTCAAAACACGATCATTTCTGCGCATGAATCTAAGCATCTAGTAACTTGACTGCGGGCTTGTTCCTTTGTTTATTAGCTCATTTTTTTTGTGGCAGCCGCCGTAATTAATTGACCGTATTTTGTGGGCAATGAGTGCTCGGAACAATTTGATAGATGCTCATTTTAGGTTATCCTCTATAGCGCTGCAGTGTTACGCAACAAAGCATCCCATCCCTAATTTCGTCTATTTTGCTTGGCTACATCTTTTTGGTGTATTTTTTGTCGACAGTTGTGTCAAAATGGGGGGCACAAATGTGTAGAAAACCAGACTGTTAAACGGGGTCGGGATGAGGAATATATCGTCATTATTTAGTGAGCAATACTGGGTCGTCTCTCTACACTCTATCAACCCTAGAAACCGCTTGGTTCAGTGGCGAGAATTTGTTCGAGTACCTGCCAGAAAACATCGCCTACTACCACGTAACTCAGGCGCCGGCCCAAACACACCAGCTGAAATCACCCACCTCCGGTCCATCAGAAGAGAAGAACTTCGACACCCAGCCCAGTGGCATTCGTGCCTGTCCGCTGTCCGTAGAAGATTTGACGGATCCGTTCAAGGAGTGGTGGCAATCGTATGTGATTTGTTTCTACAGATTCGAGGCTCTTTGTGTCTCCTTACTTGTTGATTGGGAGGGCAGAACTGGCTTTTCCATCCCATTTACCAAAATCCCTAGTATTTTTCGGAAGTATCCACGGTACTTTATTTGTTTAATAGCAAGAGTTGTTGCACTCTGGATGGTGTAATTAGATGACGGTCAGTTTTTATCTGCTATTTTTTTTGGTGAAGAAATAAGTCAGAAGGTGAACATAAGCATAAGCTGTCCAACTTTTAAGATAACCAACTCAGAGGGGTTTTGAAACACCTACTTGTTGCTTAAGCTACATCACCAAAAGGACGAATTCTTTATATCGAAATCTTATTTTGAGGTTTTTTCATTTTAACAGAAATCAAATCGACTTGCGAATTGGTTGGAATTCAGCCGTCTAATTTGACTAAACATAGCGTCTTGGAGATGGGTAAAACTTTTAGTAAAATAGCCTTTCTTTGTGTCTACGTCGCCATAGAACCCTGGGCTTCAGCCAACAACAACTCTCCACCGTCCTCTCCTCACACCTCGTTGATATCACCGACCTTGTGGACGCCCGGCACACTTTGCTCTCCAGCCTTCCCACCTCTTCTGGTCATGTTGACGACAGCAGTTCTGCTCCTCACCCTCTGGGGCGTCGTGTTGACCTTTGGGCTGACCTCTTCCAACCTCCCTTCCTCCAGCATCTTGAAGTGGGTTCTGGTTCAATAGAAGTTATTGCTCTGAAGCCTATTCCTGTTTCTTTGTCTATGCATTCTTGGTCGGTCATTGGTCCATCGATGTGTTGACTTCGTGAAGCATGCTCGGTTTTGAAACACCTTTTTTGGAATTTTGTATTCTTATGGTGATTTTTCGCCTTCACACTTCTTTTTCGATGCGTGTTGGACTGATTTCTGCTGTTATAAGCCGGAAATATTTGTATGAACTTGAGATTCTTCTGTTTGCGGTAGCTTTATGTCGAATGTATTCATGGTCGCTTTAAAATTATCTGTAAGACTGGGTTTAATACCCTTCCAATTTGGGATAAAAGCACTTTTAAGGGTCACAAAAGAATAAAAACAGTCTGAGGTGAAGAGAAGGCAGAACTCTGTCAACTTGCCCATCATCACTGAGCACAAGAATGACGACACATCAAAGTAAAATGCATGCCTACGGCTGTGCACAAATATGGTAGCGAAATTAATATTTCCGGATTTATAGATAGATCAGACGATTTTAGCTTCTCATTCTACTTTTTTCTTACCCCTTTAGTACCGTTTGAGTTGACACTGTACTGCGCATAGGATAAGATTGTCAAAGAATGATCGGAGTTGGGACGATATTCATTTTAGGTGTTTTCTACAGTTTTCGTAGTATTTTAACGCTTGGCGTCGTTTAGTTGAAAGAAAACGACATAGCCTCTTAATAAGAAAACTCGTGGGTCTCGCATCAAACTATCGCAATTATAGGCCCATAATCACTTACACAACGTCATCACGTTTTCCTAAGCTTTTAAAGCTTGGAGAGTGAAAGCGATAGTGGTAGAGGGATAGTTTTAGCGATATGACGTGATTTTCAACGAAAGACAACTTTCAGCCTTTTACGATTACCGCTTTTGGTACCCTTTTGCTCGTAGCTCATCGGGATCAGGGAAATTGGTTCAATTTTTATGAACTAACTCTTCAACTATAACTGATTTGACTTTCTTCGTTGCAGGCTTTGCTGAAATCCACTCTCAACGAGATCTTCACAGACTTTGAGACGGCCTTACTTTCCCTGGCCAAATCACTTGACCAGATGGAGGATAAGTCTCACCAAACTTCATCGGATGAAATACCAGTGGTGAGCCTAGATTTCTCGTTGGTTTAATATTTTGTCAACTTTGATTGGTTAGCAGCCTAATTTTGGGCCCCAACAACAAATTATATTTAAGTATCTTCTTTGAATACCTTGTATTGTGAGAGTAGATATGATTGATGCAAAGTCGTGAACATTACCGTACAATAGATGGAATTCTGTTTTTATACGGAAGCAGATTTAAGACAGCTTTAAAAATCCTTTCGTGTGTACACGATATATTTCGCTTCAACTTGATCAAGAAACGGGAGATGGTAAGGCTTTTATTCAAGTGAAGCGTAAAAGGTGGTTGTTTTATGCCTCTTCGTTCTAGCCAACATTGTCTTGATGATGCAGGGACACTAAACTGTTTATGAAATCGAGTAGTTAATTTATCGCTCATGATCTGAATGAGGTGTAAAGTGGGGATTTTTAGCTTAATTTACGGAAAAGCGAGCGAAATCTTAGCAAAGAAATGCGGGTTTGGCCAATGGACCATTAAGACTGCAGGAGGACAAGCGTCAATTTTGTTTTAACGTTTACGTTTTAACCAACTATTCTCCGGATATATTGACTACGGCAGTGTACTTTCTCATATCGTTAACCGTGGCACTGAAGTTGAGTTACAAACCATTATTCGATGTCGAAATATTTAAAGAAATAGCTACTTCTGCTTATGGTTGACGACACAAATATGATTGCTCTTTTAATGCCAAATTCAGCCTTTAGACAAGGAGGAAATGTCATCAGAACTGGATTTGGCGTCGTTTGTATGGTCACAGAGCTCTAATTCCACCGATCTGTCAAATTACTACCAAGAGGAAAAGAATCAACTTCTGTCATCACTGGACGACCCCGTCGATCATTTGGACATTTGTCCACAGGACCTGGTGATGGCCTACTTTGCCTGTCTTGTGGGTCGAAAGGACCTCCTTCCACGTCCGTCAGCCACCCAGGATGCTTCCAGCCAACTCCCAGGTCCCCTACGATGGCGGTTGAGTCGACTCCTGGAAAGCGCTGCTGCCACTTACGCCTTATTCGACTGTCGTAAAGGAGAGGGAGGGACAATGAGCGAAACCGTCTGTGCTAGTCGACATGAAATTAACCTAAAAAGGCGTCTCGTCACACCCCAGTTGAAACGGTACGCTGTTCGAATGAGCTTGATCTCGCAGTTGAGTTATGGTACTGCAGACGAATGCAAGCGTCAATGTAATTCGATTCACGAGAGATAAAATGAGACCGCTTACTCCTTAATCTACAAGCACGAGAACAGAGGCCTAGATATACGTTTATTATCCTACGAATTCCTGTCTTGACATCGAAAAACTTAAGTTTACTCCCAAAGACATTACAAGTAGCTCAAAAATTTGGGAAGATTTGGGGGTAGTTGTAAAAGTCGGTATGGTTTTACTAACATCGTTGTGAATCTTGACAATTTATCCATTTGCAAATGACGCTTTTTTTCCTACTATTTTGCTTAAAGAACAGTCGATTGGCCTGATTGTAAGCTTTTGAGGTATTACTGAAAGTTGCTTTATTATTGCTAACATAGCGTTGCGCATGGGTTATCCCTGTAGTCAGGTATATAATCAGAGTAAAGAATGGTTGGGAGATGAGTGCGATAGGTAGCAAAAACAGTTCCGTGATATCACCAGGGTAGCTGAAATAGGGAGTATTTTGAATGTTCTCAAGGTCAAATTCCCTTCCTTTCAATAGGTCCTTCTTGTTGGGCACTATCCTCGGCGCTCAATGTGGTTGTTCTTCCGCCTCGGTCATTAGATTTTAAAATCACTTGCAAGCCAGGAGCGTGGATTATACGATGGTTTTTTACACGAGATCGAGACGACATTTGATTTCAATGATAGTCTTTGGTGCGAGCTATGTCGTAGAGATTCACTTGCACCATTCCGCTGAAGGCTGCTCGGCTTTTCGTAACGGAGATTTTTTATTTTTTAATCGGTTTTTTGTAGGAGCATTGGTAATAATGTTAAGGCCATTGAATAAAGCTCACAATTTAACGTAGTTTCAAGTAATTGTTGTACATTCATACCTTTTTCCAACTTCATTTCCATCTTTTGTCTACCTAGGCGGGTATTTTCCTCAGTTTATTGCAACATGGGGATGTATCCAGCTCATGGATGACCTTCAAAATCCAATATATCATTGTAATTCGTTGAAATTTAGTCCCATTTCATCACTAATCGCTATACGGATCTTGAGACTGGAGTTTCGGTGGCTCTTTTATGAATCTTTGTAGATTTTGCCATGCACAATCGAAGTCTTTGCTCTATAGCATTTCGGTATGACATCTAGTCACAAAAGTCTGGCTTATTGTTCGTTTGGAGTGGGTTAAACAACTGGTGTTAGCACTGCGAACATCTCAAGGTACACGAGTTTATAAATGACGTTTTTTTAGACCTACAGGAAGACGGCGGAGATGAGGATATAGAAGGGTAATTTGTGGGAGGCTGAAAAGACATGTATGCTGGCAAATTTCCGTTTGCCTTGTGACTTCTTTTAAAACAGTTATTCTTATAATCGTTTTGAAAAATCTCACAAAGCTAGAACTGATACTGTGCCTGAAACATCATAGATGTCATTAGAAGTAGGAAAGACTGGAAGCAATTACAAGAATAGGCCCAGTTAAATTTTAGTGGTCTTTGCAGCACTACTAACAACAGTTTTATGGAATAGCTAAAAGCAGAAGGCATGTTTAGCAAGATCTAAACGTAGTAGGCTCCGTCACCGATGCTAATGATAAAAGACCTCCCTATAATTCCATTTAATCAGAATTTGTAGCACATTCAATAACCGTCTCTGCGAGATCGTTGCCACCTCGGCTTCTGAGGACGTCACCACGTGGAAAGTTCTTCTATCCTCTGTCGAGGAGCTCTTGGAGCGATGCTGTAATCTGGCTCGGCGCGTCTCCAACGAACTGCCACCGCAGGGTGGGGCTCGTGGTGCCTTCTGCGTAGCGCGGGCCTGTTTCTGCCTCCTTGACGTCTATCCCGCGCTTGGAGCTACTGTTGTCACGGCAACTGCACGATTGCTAGCTGAGGAAGCAAAGAGCCCTTCGTAAGTCGTATTTTGCGGGGTATATATATATAATACATATTGATACTTAAAAGGGTTATTAGTCAATCTGGCTGAAGCTAAGGATCAACGACCTGACTTTGTGGTTAAGCTGTGGAGATTACTTCGTTTTAGCAAGTGACGATATTCATCTCTAGTTTTTACCAAAGAGAATCGAATACTTAGTCCTCCTTCCAGGGAGATTATGAAACTTAGGAGGCGATAGGATGTCGGAATGCATTTCTGTTTTATGATATCATCTTTTAAAATAGCTCGTAGCTACTACAGCAACAGCAACAATAAGAATCTTTGTAAGTGGAAGCGATTGCGACAGACTTCCGCTCCCTTTGATTGCTTAAGTGAATGGTTAATGCCCAATGAACGTGGGGTTTGAAGGATATTAGCCTTCAAGGCTTCATTAAACTGAATTTAAACTTTTCACCAACCCTTTCCAGGACCTTGAAATTCACCTGTGAAGCTTAGATCGGCTTCGGCTAGAGTTCCAAGCAAAGCTGTGCACCTTGATTTAAAAGTCGCAACTTGAGTTGGCAATAATGCCTCGGTTACTTATCGCGTTATTTCGGATTGAAGTAAGCGTTTGCATGTTGAGTTTTACACTTTGAATTGGACAGTTGAAATCTGTAGTGAGATTACGTGTACTGCTAGATGCGAACGCAAATCGACACAGCATAATGCGACTTGTCAAACTCGATTTCTGCCACATAGGTTCACTCCATGGACGGATGTGTCAAAACTGCGTCAAGCCTGGCTCTCTACTAGTCGAAGTCTTCGCTCCATCGCCGCGCGTTTGAGTCTTACTGCTATTTTACGCGTAACCGTCGAATCTCCAGCTCTGGAGAACCTTTTTCAATCACTCTCCTCTGTCTGCAATGCTTCTAGTGCCAGTGACGCAAAATTAGTCGCCATCACCTCTGTAAGCGATCTTATTATCGTGCTTTTCTTACAGCCTCCCTCTCTAGCAATGGTGTGAGATCATGTTGAAGTCTTCCCCACAAGATACTGACTCATCGGCAGCAGTTGTACGGTTGAGAGTCCCCTCCCATCCCTCCTGGCCACTTCAGGAGACTCTATTCACCATAGCACGGAGCTTGACAACTCTCAGCGTTCATACTCTTCCTCGGTAAATATGAGATTTTCTACAAGTTTCCCTTGTTTTAGAGGTTTTCTTGGCCAATCGTTCGGTCAAAAGCTTGCTGAAGGTCTTTTAAACACATACCGTCGGTTGGTAGAGGACCAGGAGGGCAAGCTGACACAACCTCAAGCTTTGCAGCTCTTATTTGATGTCCGATTCATCCTCCGTTTGTTGGTTTGGCCTCTCACTAGTACAGAAAAACGGCCTTCAAACGTCAATTCCCCCACCGTGGAGGATATGGCTGAGATTGGACAGGATCTCTTAAAACGTCTTGAGGCCGCAGTAGATCCCTTTGATCTGGAGATGTCCTCGGAACCCCTAAATATTGGGATCGGTCATGCTGTGCGAACGACTGCTGTTCTTTATGCTGCCCTGCTTCCAGTGACTTCCACAATCGCCTCCGCAGATCAGGTGGGAGAAGGCAAGTCCGAGGAGTTTTCCAATCTCGGATTTCTTGCCCTGATTCCGGTTTCGAAGGGGTTAGAGGGAAGGGAGGCAGAAAAGGCTAAGAAAACATTAATTTTCGGCCTTCTTCCTTTTTCCCTATCCCAAGTTCGACCCCCGCCTCATGTGACACCTGCTGTCAGGAAAAGATCTAAACCACCCCCAGAGGTAAGTGTTTGTTTTGTTTTCACTTTCGGTGATTTTCTCTAGAAGTCCAAAGAGGTTTCATCGGCTTCTCGCGGCTCATCTGACTTTTCTTGGTTCGGTGGACTTTCCTTTACCTAACGTCCGCTTATTTATCCCTGTTTTTTTTCTTTTGACTTTGCTACTTTGAATAAGACAATGAAAAAGGGAGCAGTGCTACTTTTTATTTGGTCGTCTAATAGGGCTGGAGAGTGTTTGTTTTCTGAAGTTGTTGCCAAATACGTCGATGTCGGTCGAGATTCGTCTAGAATGAAGAAAAGGGGAATGAAGTAGGGTTTTAGTAAAATTATTAAAAATGGGTGGTTGATCATTCAATCTCCTTATTTAAAAGTGTTGTATTCTCGTGGATTGTGGCTTTGTGATACTGACACGGATTCGCTAAATTGGGGAGAACTATTATCAGGAAGGCAAAAGCTTTGCGCCCACATCACGAAGTGTCAGTTGAATCTGATGGATGCGATACGAGTGTCAGAGCTCCACTCAGCATCGAAGAAACTGCATAACATTCCTGCAAAATTCGTTGTATGGTGCAGTAAGAAGCCATGGTATTGGGAAGTCCATCGTAGGACCGATTTTATTGACGCACGACTGGAAGGCATATGCATCTCTTTGTTGGATGCCTTCTATTCTTGATAATGGAGAACTGCGTAACGCTATTGACATCGAAAGCAATGAGATTGGAAAATTGGGACACCTTGTGGTTCACTTCCTCTACGTAATACAGACGGGTCGTTTGGATGGATTGTTTACACACCAAGTGACCTGTGATTTTCGCATTGTCATAATGTTGGCCAAATTAATAAAAGTGACATTGGTTATTGGTAAGCAATCCACTGTCTCACTTTTTTAGTCATACAGCACTTCATTTCCACAATACCGTGCTTGTTGTGTGTGTATGTGTGTTCTCTAGGCCTTGCTCAATTTCCGAAAGCAAAACAATTGCAACTGAGAGCTCTTTGCACGATAAAGCTGGAAGGTGTACAAGAAAAAAGTATTTTTTCAAAAATGGTCAAGACCAGAGAACTGGCGGGAAGGAAGACTGATTCGTGGGAGAATTTGTACTTTAGAGTGTGGGGAGGAGGGGGAAAGGCACTGCCTCACCCTCTGTATTTCTCTGATGACAACGCCAGTTTTTGATAGATAATTGTCACCTTTTCTGGAGCCAAGCATCAAACAATCATGTAAACGTATGCAAGGTGGAATAGAGGATCGGGAAATAAAAGTGAAATAGAAGCGGTGGTAGCTGGGGTTGGATTGTTTACCTAAAGAAGCGGAAAGCTGGCTTGTATTGTTAGGGCAGGGTTTAATGATAGGTTACATTAACAATTATTTAAAGGTACAAATTTGTTTCTTGAGACAACTTTCCTAAGTCTGTTTTTACTTGATTTCTAATAATAAAAATGCATTAACTGAGTTGATAAACATAAAGCATTAAAGCCTAGTCAGAGTTAACAAAGTCAGTTGGGTAGTTCGACTTGTTCAAATCTTATCTTTCATACTGCAGTTCATAATGACAGAGTTAGCGATTAGGCAACCAGATTTTATCAACCAAAAATCAGTCCTTTTGAAAGGTAATTTTTAAACCAGACTTTGTAAATGAAACTTGCCTTTGCAATATCCAGTTTCCTGCTCTGAACTTTCGCCTTTCGTTTAAGCAGTCGTATTTCGCGCACGCTATTCACGTAATCCATGACGGGTGGCACACGGTAGTCCTCCATCAACTGGTTCAGATGAGTTATTTGTGCTTCAATTTTCTGTTTCTCCTGCAACACGCCTCAATTTTAGGTGTTACTACTCCAAACCTACCCTAATCACCTTTGTTGTCTCCAATGTTGTCTTTGCAACTATCTCTTCACGATTTTTAATCTCATTTTGCAGCATTATTGAGTCCTGGTTCAGTTGAGCTAGTTTGCGCTGAAGGTGTAGAGGTAAACTACGGTTAAGGAATACCTTTAAGGCATTTGAGGCCTGTGTAACTCTACCGGCCGTGAGTTTGAGTCGTAGTAACTCCTGATTCTTCCCATCGATTATCTCCAGAAATTGGGCGTTTTCGATCTTCAGCTGTTCAAAATCAACCTCGTGTAAAACTTCGCCCATTTCCTCCTTCTGTTTCTGTTGAGAGAGGAGCTTTCTGCGTTGAAAGCGAAGTGTTGAGTTATTTAGACGATATTTGTCTACTAATGTATCCTATGGACAAAAAGGAAATTTTATCGAAAGGAGATGGTTTTAAAATACCTGGGATCTCAAAACTTCTTCCATAAATCGAGTTATTTTTTCAGCCGTTATCACCAAGTTTTGAGGTTGATAGCTTTTTTTTCTTGTAAATTTTTGGTAGTTGTATTTGAGTTGCTCAATTTGTTTGAGTTCCAGCTCTGCTTCATCACATAGGGCCTAGTCGTTAGGATCGCCAAATCATCACTACTCTACTCGATAGTCATCCAAGGTGGTATCGGCGTTTCGTTTAAATGTTATTAATTCTTGACTGAAATTCTCTATTTCAGCTTTGGCGATTGTGCATTTCTGTTCCGGGTTCAATCGCAAAGCTCTATCTGGGACGACATTTCTGATCCTTGATCTATTGCGACTCGAACGGACAACTCCAGATGCGACCTCTTAAATGCAATAAGCCTTGAAGTAAATTTCCTACGGTCTTCATGAAGGTCTAGTTTTATGTTAAATCGCTTTATGTAACGGTCCAGCATGAAATTTTCGAATTCCAAATCCTCTACAGCCTTACTGAGGTTTATTATTTAGGCTCTAAATTTACGTGTTCTCGTCGACTATGCCCTGGAGGAATTCAACACTATAATCATCAAATTCAGCATCTGATCTTGCTGGGTCTTCTTCCATTTCGAAAGTTCAGGAGATTACATGTAGCTAGCGTATAGTAAAAACAAACAAAGCATTATTAGCAGACAGTAGGTGTTATGGAATTAGGAGAGAGTGAAATCGTTTGGCCAGAATAACTGGTGATCGTACCCTGATATGTTTTTTTTTTTACGAGAGTGTGTGGGCGCTGTACACTATGGGCCGACGGGAGGGAGCATCAGTTTTGTTCCAAGTGTTGAGTCAAAGGTAACGACAGCTTTATTGTGTTCATAGCCTTTAGTTTATGAGATAATGTTTCCAATTCACTATAATTTAGCCACGAAAAATACACCTCAAAAAATCAAAAATATTCGTGTAATATCTGATGATAAAAATTACTAGGACCATTGCAAACCTGCAGACTACCAAGGTAAATTGCAGGGTCTTTAGCAAAATTATTAGGTCACGGTTTCATGTTGCTAATGTTGCTTCGTAGTGCTAAGTTGCATAGCTAAATTGTAGCGTCCCGAGACTCTCTGAAGACGAAAGAAGACACAATACTTGGGCAGAATATATATGTTCAGCACGGAGAAGGTGTCTGGGCTATTGGCATGGCCCGAAAGGCCAGCCCACCCAGCGAGGTACAAGGGGCTAATTCAAAGTACACAAGTAGTGCCTCACCGGAACCGAGGGATAAACCACTATCGTATTACAAAATCAACTCCTGTATGCTCCGAATCCACTAAGTTGTGTAACCCCGTAATCTATTCTCCTTAAGCCCTTTCTTATATTGGCATTTTGTCCTTGTACTATTTTGGCTTATTAGGACTTCCAAGAGGCCCAGGACACCAAAATTTATGCGCTATATGCAAGAAAGCATTAATAATTTCCTGTTAATTTTTAGGTGCTAATAAAATCAGTTTTATTTTATATGCGTTGCGTAATGTCTTTTTAAATAAACAATGAATATTGGATGTCTCAATTAAGCAAAATTTTACAGTGAAAGCTTAAGCACCTTTATTTGAATATGCACCGTAATATTTAGCCCTACTGTAATAATTTTGGCATAATGCTAATGAGCCCTCTGCAGTCTTACCATATTCGTTTATTCAATTTTTATTTATATTATGAACGTGTTGTTACTTTGATGCTCGACCTTTTGGTGCAGAGCCGTTGAGCTCTGTTTTAACCATGCCACCCATTGTATACGAAGACGGACCGGTAGGTTTCAGACAGAAAATACTTTTGTCCGTGATTTCGAATCGACCTATACGTATTAAAAACATTCGAAGCAAGAGTAAGAATCCAGGTGTCACATCTGCTGAGGTGGATTATCTAAAACTCATTAATGAGCTAAGCAACGGTGCAATTGTGAAAGTGAACGATACTGGTAAGCCCTTTATTGTCAGTTGATGCACCAAAGGTTGTAACGTTTTCTTTTCCCCTGGAACCCTCATCGGTGGAGAAGTTGAGTTTACCTGTTCTGCAGAGCGTGGTTTAGGGTATTACCTCGAGCCCGTTGTTCTGCTTTGTTCCTTCACAAAAGTCCCATTGATTCTAACTCTAAACGGCGTGACTAACAACCGCATTGATCCATCAGTCGACGTCATTATGCAGAGCTGGTTGCCTTTTCTAAAGAAGTTTCTTCCACCGGCCTCTGCATCTGGCTTGAAAATGGAAATTAAAAAGAGAGGTGTTCCACCGAAGGGCGGAGGGAAAATCATTTTTACTTCTAAGCCTGCCAATTTCCTGTCCCCTATTCAACTTTTTACCCCTGGAAAAGTCTATAGGTAAGGTAGCTTTTGTAGTCTTGTCAATTCTCATCACCTTCCTAGAATCCGTGGTGTTTCATGGACTTGTCGTGTTAGTCCAGGTATTGCGTCACAGTTAATGCACGGTGCTAAGCAGCTTCTTAACTCGTTTCTCAGCGATGTGTACATAAATCTTGACCAAAGACGGGTTCGTATTCAGTGTTTTAAATTTTTTTGAGGGTTGTTTAATGCTTATTTTATACGACTTCTTTTGACAAAATCGAGTGTCAAAAATTCCAGAACAATGTACACGGCATTGATGCAATTGGGACATTAGTATTTTTTTCCTTAATCTTGGGATGGGCTAAACGAAATGGTTTAAATTTCCCAGAAAACTTTCTTTCCAAACTCCAGGATTTTCGTTAATCTCCGAAGACGTAATCGGTTGAATTCTTTTTGAGTGTTTTGTATCAATTCATGATGCTTATTGAAAAGTGCTTCTTACTGGCATGATATTTAAGATCATATTGCTTTGTTAGCTCAAAGTTCCCCTCAGCATCTATTTATTCATCCTTTTGCGTTTTAAATCATTTTGGTTGGGGGAACACAGGGGTGAATTTGTAGTCGATCTTGAGTCTCAGTCGCTCCTAACGATGAACACATTTGATAGAATGGCTGGTCTTTCAGGTGTTTTAAAGGGAAACCCGTCCCACTACTAGAAAGTTTTGAGTATCATCTTTTTCATTTAAAGCGAGAAGTGGCTGGTGGAAGCTCAGGCTTCGGTATGGTGCTGTGGGCGGAGACAAAAGAGGGAGTTTTCTACACCGCGGAGGTATGCAGTGCTGCCGAGAGTGATGCTGCCGCCCCCGCCCCTATTGTTCCGTCGGAACTCGGTTTTGAAGCTGCGTCTCGCCTGCTGGATCAGGTCATTTACATCTCGTTGACACGAGAAATTTGTCGTTTCTATCATCACTAGCTTCTTTTTTATTTTTATGTTTCACCCGAGTGTACTACTTTCAGTTGGGTATCCGATTTTATTCGTGCTTTGGCATCAGTGCTTTATAGCGGCATCTTCAACTTTAGCTTTGTGTTCGTTCAAACATTACTTCTTGGCCTTCACTCTGCATGGCTTCTTCACGTTCGTCGGCATGTACTGGCTATGTAGTTGGATGCATTACACGAGCACTATTTGTTTACCCCTAAAAATGACTTAATAAATTTTGGGTGGATTTCAACGGTTTTTTTTGCGACTTGATGGTCTATTCTATATACTTCAGTCTGCATGTCTTTCCAAATATCTATATTGTTAGCGATGACGTTTTTTAATTTAAGATGTGTGCGGAGTCATTTAGTCACTTGTTTAAATCTCTGACTACCTTAGCAGTTCAGTTTTTTTACTGTTCCTGTGCCGTATTACATGGGGTATTTGTTAATCAAATTCACCAAATGAGAACCACGTATTTGCTCTTGATATTTCTTATTAATGAGTTCTCGTTGCCTTTTACGACAAAACGTCATACCGTTTGGTTTCAGATCTACCTGGGTGGGTGTGTGGACGAGTCATTGCAGTCGACAGCACTGTCGCTGATGGCCTTCGAAGGGGGTCGAAACGCCAGTCAACTTCTCATCTCCGATCCTACACCCCACACCGTCCAGACCCTTCGTCTCCTGCGTAAAGTCATAGGAGTGAGTCTCGCTCTCCTTCCTATTGTTCTCTCATCATTTTTGGTCTTTGTCATGTCTCATTCTTTTACATGCGAAGTTAGAGACGAATACTTCAGAAGTCCAGATAGTTCTTGAACTACTCCTTCAAGGTAAATTTGCATCCAGTAGTACGAGGCAGAATGACCGTTACACTTGCTTTTTAAATTGATAATCCCTGTAGTTTTGCAATCTCCATACTTTGGCAAATTTTACCGAAGAACATACTTTATGGTAGCTCAAGGAAATTTCGCTTCGACGGTGGTCATTGTGCCCATGATATTCTTAGTTTGCGCGAAAGCTTGCAGCGATGAGTTTAGACGCCCAAAACTGTCCAAGCATTTGTATAAATCTGCTTTTATAAGTTAGAAGTGAATCTAACCATTTTTGCCTTTCCATTTTGGTCCATTCCATGCTTGCTACTACTATTTATGGGGCGATAAAGTTGGGTAGCTAGATGTGATTATCGTTTCAAATGCGCCATCCCTTTGGGTAAGATAATCCGAGCTAGCTAATTCATTTAGTTAAGAATGTTTACTGTGATTGCTGTGACTAATCAATCTAAGGAACTATTTTATTACACGCTGGCTATTTCGCAAAATAGGATTGAGGTGAAAGGGTTAAGTGCCTGAAATCCGTCCGTCATAAAAGACAAATAGGTTGGACTGTCGTAGGTTCAGTTGGTTCCGATGTTTTGCTTATAATTTCCCAACTTGGCTGCTATTATGTCAAATTGCTAACATTGTCTGAAGTACACGAGAATGAACACTTTATCCACCTTAACTTAAATGGTAAACAGATATCCATTTGTCAATCAGGCAATCAAAAATTCCTACATTTTTCAGTGTATTTAGCTGCGGTGACTCATAGGGACTCGTGAAATGCATGTGATTGTTTCCGTGCGAGCCTTATAGAGGGTACTTTTATCGCATCAGCCTGTTGTCATAGTGTTTTTTGTTGTGTTCTATTTTCCTCCTATTTTGAATTCACATATCGTAAAATGCCGGTAAAGTCTGATGGACGTGATACGAGTTTGTCTGCTTTACGTATCAGGCTAAAGCGGATTCCTAAGTTGTAGGAGCTTCTCCCATTTGGAGAAGGCGCGACAGGTGCGAACTCACCATCCAGAAATTGTTTACAAATTTGGATTCAAACGACGAATAACTGAAGACCTAATGCGCCTTGCGCAGGAAGACTTCATCTTTTTAGTAATATAGAATTGGGTTTTGGTATTAACACATTAGAATAAAAAATACTACAATAGGAAAAATAGGCGATAGAGTAAAATTAAGTTTTCGGAGATTGTCGTAATGCCACAGCTCCTTCGAGCCTATATCAACTGGGACGAAAAAGTTGTGGAAGGGGCTAAGCAAATCGGCCCACCTGCATGCCTTGAAAGCAGACGATGTTAAGCTTGAAAGGCTGCCACTATTTGTGGTTCTTCACTTTTTATAAGCAATCTGGGCAGGCCCTTGGGAAAGAATTGCCCTCTTGTGATGGAGGATTATTTTTTCATTGTAATATCTGTCAAGATAACGAAGCTCCCGCTGGTTAACCTCCAAATAATCCACTAACTGCTACCTCATTTCTTAGCTGTCTACCACTTCATCCCTAGAAGATCATGCTTGCTTTTGCGTGTGTGTGCGGAGGACTGTGGACGCACTTATTCGTCGGGAATTTGTTGCTGCGATGACCAAATAATTGCGCTTTTGATCGGTCTATTCACTACACTACGATGCAGCCCGGACTCGTGAAAGAGAACTTCTTCAGAAGTTTTGAAGGCTAGTGGAATACTGGGAAGGGAGTTTTATTATTAAAAGACAACGCAAGATGATCGTAAAATTTACTCGTGAAATTAGTACTTGAAGATTGAAAAGTGAGTGTGGTCCATCCTCCATATTTCCTCGATGATATTTTTCTAGGTTTTGAGTAATATTGCTGATTTTTTTATGACATTTAGGATCCAGTCACAGTTTTGCCATCCTTTTACGGAGAGTATATGATTAGGAATTTTACTGGAATTAGACTACTTGTAGACCTTGAATTCCCCTTGGAGTCAACAGGCCAATATTATTGCGGGTATCGTTGAATAATGCAAGTCGTGTCAGTGACATTTTCCTCGCGTTAGTTAATTCTACTTTCCTTGAAAAAAGCGTAAAATGGCGTGGAAAATAAATTGGAATATGAGTAAAGTCTCTTGTTTGACATCACTTGTTTATTTTTTCTTCAGGTAACGTTTGATCTGACCTATGCCGATAGGATGAAATTGAATGAGGAGGAGGAGGAGGAGGAGGAGGAGGAGAAAGAGAAAGAGAAGAAAGAAATAGGATTGGAAGAGGAGAACACTAGTCGAATGGACGATAGTGAAGAGGCGAAGGAGGAGGCATCCTTGGAGCGTCCTGTTCCCCTCGTGGCAACGTGTTTTGGCTCGGGTCTGAGGAACATCAATCTGTCTATCAGGTGACCTACTGCATTTCTTTCAATCGCTGTGTACAAAAGATCTATCCCCTCTGTAATTTGACCAGCCAAATCTTTTCTAGAAAAATGAGATGTTTTTTTCGTTTTCGTTGGGGGTGGGATTTGCGTTGCCTAGCATTTGGTAGAGCGTTGGTTCTGCGTCCGATTGTTCCCTTCTAAGTGATTTTATTCCTCACATTTATACCTGCCATTTTTGTGAGGACTAACAAAGGTGAGGCTCTTACGGTATCTGCTTCCTCAAGGTCGGATTAGAAGTCGAACATTTAACGGAATTCCCCAGAGCTATCAATTTCGACGAGGTGTCGTAAACACTTGCTTCTGCTAGAGTCATGTGATGTGGACACTCTCTGACATGTAGTGTCCTGACGGTTTAGCTAGCCAGCTAATCTTCTCTGTCGATAAATTGCCACTTTTGACATCGAAACAGATTCTTTGTATGCCTTAAAATAGCTTTACAAGCTTCACTAAAGCACGCTCAGAAGGGGGAAGACAAAGGACTGGATACATTTGACGATTAGGGGATTTGTGTACTTTAAAACAATTTATGCACCATCTGGCTGCATGGTCACCTGTTCCCAGGAAAGGAGATCGGAACAAGTTGACAAATGAGCCTCTATCAATCCCTTGAACGCCTTATGGCTTTCGGTCATCCCGGGAGAGTAGAAGAGTGGCGATGGTGAGACCTCGCACAAAAAATGCAGTTAAATATCTCGACCGCTTGGTTTGATTCTCAACTGTGATTTTTCTTCTGCTTTGGGCACTGTGTCAACGGGAGAATAAGGAATGCTACCCATTCGTGGTAGTATCTGGGTCAGTTTTGGAAGGTAAACTGCATTGAGGGAGATCTTACCCAAGATTTGACGGCTTCTAACGGCGAGGATATTTGATCGTTCCTGTGGTAACTCTAGGAAGGGGGGTATCAGGTTCGGATGATATTGCTCCGCCTTCAAGGAGGATTTTGACACTCCGTTAGCGTTTGTTGGATAAATCTCGAAGTGGGGGATTCGTTTGAAGTAGTCAAACTTCCATTTTAACTTCCAGCCATAAACATCAGACGTTCCCCTCTCCTGCACTTGGATTTGATAACCAGCAACCGAAATCCGGATCACTACCCGCCTGGATCGGGTTTGCTTGCTGTTGTCACCGATGTGACGCTTCCAACCTTTCCTGAACCCTACCAGCAGATTTAAAGTAAATAAGCCACAGGAAGTCCTCGAAGGTTGTAGGCATGTCTGGAAGTCTATGCCACCAAAACAGAAGTCCAATCTTCTAAAAAAGAGATTTCGAGGCAGTTTTCCTTAATGTTTCACAGAGGTAATGAAGCACTTTATTTGAGCCAACGTCGACTGGGTGGAAATCGGGGTGGGGAAGGTGGAGAAAAAAAAAGAGTTCCACATGCATTTGTGTTGGATATTGAGCCTCAAAATTTTTAACTTGTCGCTCTCCACTTCTTGAAATGACAAGATAAAAATGCTTAAGACCGACAGAATAGGACAGGGTTGAAGGGAGATGCTGTCCTATTCTCCGAATTTCTCGCATATTTCTCCTGATGATGCTTATCGCCTTTTCTTGGCACGAGCCCCAGTCAATCACATCCACTCCTTCAAGGCAGAACAGAGAGTCAGGAGACAAAGATGACTTAAAAAACGATACGCTTAAGATTGAGCTTTTTGCTTCTGGAGACAAAATCATTTGCAAATGGGCCTCCTGCTAGGCAAATGCTCTCACGAGTAGCGACGCAGTGAAGAACATCCTCAACTCCTAGGGAGATTCACTGACAGGATATAACATCGGAGGCAGTGGAATTGACAAGATTCATAATAGATGCTCTGTCTCTATAAAAAATAATGGCTATCTATCCTACCTCATGGGTGGGTTTCAAAGCACCAGCGTCTTTTGCGATAGTCAAAAGAGATAAATGGCCAGAGGGAGCCACCTTTTGCCTCCTACTGGACAGGGTTTTCGGTTCTGCAGGGTGGCCTTCAAGTCCCTCTGACGCTAACGGTAACCCATTCTTCTGTGTTGGTGTACCTTCTTACGGCTTCAAAACAGATTCGAGGTGTTTTTGAGCTCTTCAGTTAGCCCAGTAATAAGTTCTACGTGACTTGTTTGCCGCTTATTCATTTCAGACAGGCATATCAAAGTTGAGCACTATGATTGCAGTATTTCAGTAGGCTATCGCCAACAAGTCTCCAGAATCTATTAGTCAACTTTACAAAGAAATTATTTTTTGAAACTGTCTGTGGCTACTACTGTTCACGTTCTCCGGTGTTAATCGGGAGGGTAGGTTTGCTCCAAAATTCCCTTTTTTCCAAGAAGAGCAAATCGGTCCATAGCTAATGCGTATACCACAATCCAATTAATTTAAATATTGAAAAGGTGTTTGGAGGCATTTCTGTTATTTTTCCAAACTCTACCATAAATTTGCTTAAATGAATCTCTTTTAGGTGATAAACAGGCAGAATGAATTGACTTTGGTTGCTGGGTGGTCATCACTGATCTACAAAGGTGAGAAGGAGGAGGAGGGGGAGGAGGAGAGAGACAACCTTTGATCTCCCCTATAAAAGTTTAGTTGTTTGTAAAATTCCACATTGTCACAGTACACGGTGGCCTCATCTTTTTCATCCAATTGGCTAAAACCAGCAGTTAACTTTCGTCCAAAATAAAGGCAATTGTGAGTTTCAAATATTATCTTACCTTAACAACCAGATACGCTGCTTCAACATTATATATTCCCACTTTCTAATAACAGACTTATCATCTTGTTAAATAGACACTTAACCTACAGAAACTTAAGGAGTTGGGAAGTTAAAAATCACTCTACCCAACAGATCCACTGCTTATTTTCATAAAGAGAGGTTAAAATGTTTGTTGCCTCACACTTGACAACTTCTCAGTCTACATTAAAACACTTGAACTTTTTTCCACCGTCTAGGCGGTTGGAAGGGAAAAATGAAACGAAGAGTGGAAGAGCATAGAAGCATTTACCTTCATGACTCCCCCAATTCGACTATCACAACAAGCTCTCATTTAATTACGCAAAAACCAGCAAGTTTAAATATACTGTTGTGAGAAGAATGGTTTAAAATTTATCCTCTTTAGAGAGAATCTGTGGTGACAAAAACTGAAACCCCGCCAATCCTTTTGATTGAAACAAACCCTTGAAGCAACAGTGGGTATTTATATGCCCTGTCAAGGAAAAATTACCTTATATGGCAAATAAAAGGTATCTGAAGACCCCAAAAAGTACATCAGCAAATAGTACTCATTGGGAAAAAGTAGCATAGTCCTTTTTTGAAAGTAAATTTTGGAAAAAATTTTATTTACCAACAGTTGATAAGTTGGGGTTGGAAATTAAAAAAAACTTTCTAAAAGCACAAAAAGCTTACTAGATTTAAAATTAAAATGTTCCGTATTAGAGTCGGTGAGAAACACCGGCCACCACATCTTGGCTATTTCAGTGTTCGAAAGATCAAATCAACCGCTACTCTAAAACTGAAAAAGAAAGTATGAAGGTATCTCCAGACCCTCTAATTTGTTGTAATAAGCTTAAATGGTCTGGTTGTAGATCAATTTTGCACAACCACTTATCATGAACAGGCGACGAACTCATGTCACATATTTGTGACTTTCGATTCAGATAAAAGAAAGGGGGCTTGGCATATGTGGCACTGATGGGAAAAGCATGTTAAACCACAGCAAGCTAATCCAGCATGGGTTGCTTTGAAAAGGGCAAAACCCACATTATGCATACTAAGGGATGGTATTTTAAATCAAATCGAGACGGGCTTAGTCACAGCTCTCCTGAACGGTCACCTTTTATACACCTTTTTAGAAATGGTAGGACACATAAAAACTACTACAATGCAGCTGTAACATGAACGATGGACTGGGCTAAACATATGGCATTTTCACATTTTCTCGTGTACAACAGCAGATCTGCGTTCACACACACACATGCACACACACCCATTTCAAAAGGTAGATGTAGTGGCCATAATCATATATTTGGTTCAGAAGGAGGGCAACAGTAGACATTAATTTGAAGGCAAAACAGAAGTCATGCAGCAAATGTAACACATCATGGCCCGCCCACTTATAAAGCGCTCCAAAATTGCCCTGACTTGGTGCTAAACCATAGCTGCCGATAGGCAAATGCTATTACTGATTCCACCAGTCAATCCCATTACCGGAGAAAATGAGATGGTTTACGGGGGAGATTAAGTACAACCTTAAGTATTTTACAATTTGTGGATAAAAAAGGATCCCATTTTTAATGCCCTAGTTTTTATGGTCTGTGCATGTCAAAAAGGGGATTTGTCTCGTTATGCACCAGTACGGATATCACTGGCATAACCGTGCACAAATTCTGGCCTGTTACAGACGCAAGAGAAACACCTCTTTTGCAGAGGGAAGTGGAGTGGCCTATGTATAAATCACTTTTATTGTTAAAGCAGGAAATAGAGTAGAGCATTTACCATCTGTTGTCACATACTTCCATTATCGTGTAAGGAAGTAATCTGGGGAGAAAAAGGAACATCTGTGCCGGAGCTACAGCCGCTTTTGGCGTTAAAAAGCTGTAGCAAAGACTTTTCATGCACTGTCCGTTATTTTCGACAATCAGCTCACAAAAAGACTGTGAGCTTGTGGTTGTTGAAAAAAAGGAAGTAGTCAGACAATCAGAGTTCGCCATGGGATGATTTAAAATGGCGCGGAGGATTTTAAAGAAACTAAGCTTTTTTAAAGAGGAGTAAGTTAAATATAGTATTGTAGTAGCTATCAACTGTGAATTTTGAAACAAATTATGCACTTTATTAACGATTCTGATGCTTCTTTGATCTTAGGTTCAACTCCATGTACTCCACGATTCGTACACTAGATCACACTTTTATTAGACTCCACCTGTGAAAGAGATGCAAAGGTAATTCACAGAATTGGTTTTTTTTTAGCGTAAAGCACAGCTCTCCTTGGATTCTTTTGAATAGTGGTAGGATTTTTTAGCAAAGATGCACCCTATTCAAGTCTGCTTTCCAATTCACCAAAAAGAACTAAATAAGCCTACCTAGGAGAGGTGGAATTCTAGTTTAAAGGAGCCATCTTTGCCACTCGGTTGCCTGAGGATGTTGCAAAAAAACGTTTCCTTTGGTTAAAGAGGAAAGGTCACCTCTCCACAGGTGCAAGTAGGCGGCCTTGAAACCGTTATATCGAGGTGATCGGTTTCCCACCACTCAAAAAAAGCATGACAAAGTAGATTTGCCACAAACAGCCAATTGAATGGGTCCTGATCCTACCTGACTTGTATTTGGCT